ACTCAACTCATGATTGAACCCCCATCGAGCAAGACGCCCCAAGACCATCAAGCCTAGCCACGAGCTTGGTGCAGCGAGCATAGTGTATGTATGTAAATCGATTCGTCGGAGCGCGTAGGTATTCGGTCTGGAGAAAACGAGATTGGCTGGGTAGGGGATGTGCTTCAACGCCCACGGCTGGCTCAGCGATGTTGAATGGATGCGGTGGGTGTATTGATCGGGTGGTGGCGTGTCTGGGACAGTCGAGGATATGACCGAGCTACGATGGGTCTAAAGTTTTGGGCCAGGTGGAGGATCTCGCACGGAAAGGGACGGACTGGCCATGTTGCCGAGATGGTCAGAGTTCTTGCTCGGGTTGTTTTGTTCTTGTCCTTCTGGGCGTTGTCAGCGACATCACTATCGCCAATTATCCTCAGGCGCACAATCATTCGCGAGCCCGTGCCGACAAAGTCTAGTATATCTGCCATTTCTCTTAAAGGAAGCAAAAGGAGACATCGCGTCGCTAACGAGCTGGCTACAGGGCAGTTCAAGAGGCACGCAGCGGTCTTGAGTGCGCTATAAGTAGAGCGCTACTTGTCAGGGAAGACGAATCGCCGTGTCGGATCGCGCTCGAGTAGAGAAGACGGTGGGGGTGTGGCGGCGTAGGGAGGGCATCGTCAAGCGTAGCGCTGGCCAGTGGATGTGGATAGAAAGAATGGATGTTATCGTCGGGCGCAAGTGATATGTCGCAGCGTGTTTGGCGATGCTGCCGAACCAGGTTGACGCGCCGAACTGGTTGAAGAGTCGACGCACGAGTTGCTGTCTTGTGGACCGAGCATGTCAGCTTCAAAGGCAACGTTGGAAGCCCATTGACATTCCAGCGAGCGGCCTTGGGGTAACCCAGGGCAGGTCGTTTAGCGGACCCAGCGACCATGTCTTGGGGGCAATACAGGACCTAACTCATCATGTTGGCGGGCAGTACAGGGTAACACGCGAAGAAGCCCCACCATGATCAAATGTTTCAACCAAGAACAGGTTGAATTGAAGGAGTTGCAGAGGAACGCGGTATCTCAAGACTGCGCTAAAAGAAGAAAAAGAATGGATGAGTGCATGCTTGGAGTGGGAGAATCAATGCGCAAAGGTTCCAAGATGTAAGGAGTAGTGCGACTCTTGACGATGTGGGTAAAGCCGAGCATGGAAGTGCTGGCTTAGGAATCATTGACCAACGTTCGAACAGACACTCTAGCTATCGCTCTATGGCCAAGCGATAACTACCTACCCAGAAGTCACATCAATAGCCCGATTTCTCAAATAACATCAATGGGGTCGAGCAACAGGGTTGCCTCTACAGACTATAGCGCTCACACTCGAAACCAAGAAGCCATCGTTAATTGAACAGCAGTGAGAAGTAGATTGACCCTTCGATCGACAGCCAGTTTCGACTGAAACAGCCATCGTGCTCTGGACCCAAGTTGTATTGAATAGCGAACTAAGTTGCTCAATGGTTCCGCCAACGTCTTTCTCCGTGGTGGTTGACCCCAAAGGTGAGATACTGCTCCTTGAGACACGCCCCGAGGCCCAATTCACCCTTCTCCACCGACGTGTTCTTTGGCTCCTTCTCCTCTCGATGCTTCAGCTTCTTGGGATGCGCCACGTGCGGCACGGTTGAATAGCCAGGGAGAGGCGACCATGTGGCCCGGACGGTCGAGCACTCGGATTGACCGGAAGTGCGTATTGTCGAAGGAACAGAAGTCGCAAGAATGGGGGGAAATCGTCCCTTTCAGGGGCGTCGTATATGCCTAGCCGTTGCTGTAACTACCCAGGTCAGCGTTGCTGCAACTGATAGGAACACCAGAAACCTACTGGCTACAACAACAAGGTCTTTCGCATTCTTCGACATGGATAAGACTGCAGCAACCGCACTGGGGCGGCATCCAGCTGTGGGTGATCGGATCATGACCCGGAGGGAGACAGCCTGCTGAGGCGTGATCAAGTCACTTCGCGGGCATTCTGAACTTCCATCAGCAACGTCTGGGGCTGACTCTCCTGGTTTGTAAGGGCGGTGGACTTTGTTGGAGTGGGCATCGGTAGAACATATGCAATTCGTCATGTCGTCACTCATATCTCATAAATCTACACCCATCAGTAAAAGGCCCCAGAACTCAAAAGCGTGAGCATACCGCAAGACAGTCATCATTCATCCACCGATCAGACGCTTCGCCAACTCATCAAATACGCCTTCCTTGATGTCGTCTAAGTCTTCATCCCTCGCGTCCTCGATGCACTTCACTCTATGATCTAGCGAGCTGATATCGTCTCGTATTTCTATTATCACTGCCTCCTCCGCATCTGCCGGCTCTAACCCTTCGCACTTCTTCTCCAGGCGTTCGACTTTGTCTTTGAGCTGAGCGTTATCGGCTCTTAGCTTGGCGTTGTCGGCTTGCAAGTCGTCAACCTTGGATTCCAGCTTCTGGAGCTTATCCCAGAACTGGTTGAAGAATTCGGGGTGGCTGTCTTGTCGGGGCCGTTTGCGACTAGACGGAGCGCTCGGAGGAGGCTGAGTTTTCGTGGCTTTCTTGTAAGACGGAGGTTGGGGGGGAGGAATGGTTGTGACCTTTGCGCCGCTGCCACTGAACATTCGTGAAACGTCGTAGTCTGGATCGAAGGAGGGTTTGATTTGACGTTGTTCTACAGCCTCGCTGACGGTCTTGAGCTCATCGGGCGATAGTAGAGACTGTTGGATGTAGATACGCAGGAATGTGATACAAGAGAGCTCGTGTATCAAGTCAAGGACCTTGCCCGATCGCGCACGCGCTGCTACGACCGGCTCTTGAACATCGTTAGGAATAAGAACGGTGATTCTGTTATCCAGAGTGAAGTCAAGAGATGTAGTCGTGTCAAATACCGGTTTTACGGCATCGGGCGGATTCGGCACGTCGGAATAAGAGAAGGACTTGATGAAGAAGGGATTTATCCGAAGGCGTACGCCTGCCCCAGCTGGCTTGTCCTTGAATCTGAAGGGGATGCTGATTTCGAAGTGCGCACCGGATTGACTCTCACGGTCGAGTCGCAAAGTGAATCGTATCGCGTCGTGATCGGGATCGGCGGTCGCTAGATTACGCGTGACACCCTCCCACTGCCACTCGACGACAGCTGTTGTTTCCTTGATGGCGATGCATGCCATAGCGCAAGGTTAGTAGACGAACTCAAGACTTACCTGCACAACACGCCCAACAACGCAACCCCGAGGGAGATTAACCAAGCCTCACTGACGGGCGCCCAGGACCTCCAGTAGAACTGCCAGGTCGCCCCGGAACTCCAGTAGAACTGCGAGATTCCGAGTCCAGGTCGCCCTCTACACGCCCCGGTTATTCCACAGAGAGGAGGGCTCTCGCTCTCGGTGGGTATAATCCGGAATTTTATAACGGGTGTAGCGCGATGCTTGGGGTACCCTCGAGAAGTGTTACTGAGCGCGGGATGATGAGGGGGACGTTTTGGCGTGGAGGCGACATCTCGAGGAGGGTGAAGAGGAGCATGATTGAAGATGAAGCTTGTGGTGAGAGGAGCGTGAATTCGCGAAGGTGGAGAAGCTTGGGCTCGGAAGAACGTTAGCCCGATAAGGCGGATGAGCAGCCTTGAGATCAGACAGGAACCTCATGTGGCGCTCGCATCGCCGCGATAGAACAACAAAAGCTGAGATACGGCATGGCATGAGAGCTAGGATTTCGAAATGAACAAATAGAATTTGAACAATTTTAATTGTTTACGCAGGTCCCACGTAGGAACAATATCGCTGTTCTGGTTAAGTTCAATCGATCGGTGTTCACAATCAATGCAAAAATGAGCTAATCATTGTACAGCGCAACTTCAGTGAAGTAGTCCACTAAATCGACTCGTTAGTGAGTGGTGGCCACCATCACCAGACAGTTGAACCAATCAACCTCGGTTTCAAGAGCCGAGGCGGGGCCGTGTCTGAACCCAACTCCTCCGCAATCCGCCTCCGGAAGCCCAGTTGACAGACTTAGATCACGCGCAGTCAATCGGAACATGGTTGTTAAAGTTCCAAGACAACATGGGTACCATTAATAGCTTAAGCGCTTTCTTTGAGGTGACTTCAAAGAGCTGGGGACGTTGAAACTTAAGGGACCTTGGCTAGAGCCAACGCAAGGTTACCGCAACCACTGAATCCTTCTCTCCTTCTGTCTCGGATTTCTTTCCAGTCTGCGATTTACTATTCTATCCTACTGGCCTGCATTTTCCAGCATCATGCGCACACAAACCCCCGAACTGATGATGTACAGTACATATATTACCCGTGTATATTACCGGCTTAGTCTCGGGGCTGATAGTCAGGCGGCTCGATGTTGCATGTAGATTCGGGGTTTCATCTTCTTTGCTTTCTAACCATCAGCTCGTCTCTGTTAGAAGATCTACGAGTGCTAGCTTGACTTTAGCCTCAACATCCAAGTAGCGAAAGTAATCTGTTTCTCAATATCATCTTAGCCAACTAATTTTAAGATTTCATGTTAGCCAATATTAAGATCTCTTCAGCCTTATTGTCCAACTCAATTCGGTGTAAGTAGGTGATCGCTGCAAGGTCAATCACAATGAACTAGAATTAATAAACTGCAGTTATCGCAATTTTGAGATATTGTTAGCAACCTGAGTTGCCAGACTTTTGGACACGTTCTACTAATTATGTTACATGCTGGGTTTCCTGCCCCGTTGCTCTCACAGTTGTTGCATGCATGGTATACCCAATACTAGATTTGTTGTACTGTACTAAGGAAACCCATGTCTATAGTTTTGCCTTTCCCTTCTATCCAAATACTCCCATAACATATGAGATCCTTTCTAAAATAACCCTTTCGCATTTTCTTGCCTGGTATCCTTGAAGCCATATTATCGATCTATGTTCTGCTTCAAAGATGTGTAGTCTGCCTCTTCTGTTGGTGTTCCCCTGGCCATGGGTGGCTCTCAGGGTGTGATGATTAGGAGGGAGACATTGCCTGGCTGGTATGTCACTGACGTGAAAGCGCCTTGCCTGGCTCGCTGCGAAGCCTGATCGTCACCCCTTTCGACTTGGCCGCTTCTTCTCTTTTCTGTCTCGCCAATGATCTCTTGAGAGCCGCTCTCTCTCGTCTCTCTTTGGTGGCCTTCGCTCTCTGGGCCTTCCGTTCCTCCTGTCTCGTCTTTCGCTGGTGCTCTTGGATTGCCATGTTGACCTTAGCGGTCATTTTATCGGCGACGCCTGGGCACGTACAGGCAAGCGGCATGGCAGTGATGGTTGCAGTGGGGTGGCCCTTTCGGGTTTCCGATAGCATGTCCGATACGGCTGGGGACCAGCTCTTAATGCGCTCGTGCAAGCGACTCTGGTCAAGCAGACGCTTGAGAAAAGGGTTGTTCCAAGGCCGATGGATGACTGGCATCCCGACAGGGACCCATGTGTTGCAAGAGTTGTGTCTTTTGAATCCATTCATCTCATCCTGCATGACCATGAAGATGTCGGGGAACTTCTCTGCATACTGTAGGCGAACAAGAAGGTTCGGCATGATGATTGTAGTGGTAAGCCCAGACTGGGTGACGTCAAGATGAAAAGAGAATTTCTCAAAGGGGAATCTGCCCAACTTGTATCGACTACTCCAGAAGGGCAAATGCAAGACATCGGTTCTGGGGTTGAAGTATCCATAAGGCTGGATATCGGAAGGCTCCGACGGATTCGTGGAGATGGTGTAACGTTTGAGCCGAAGCTGGGCTTGGTTTCGTGATTCTCTGCTGACCATCAGAGCAATTGGGAGCGGAGGTGCCTTGATTCGAAGCCATTTGTCGTTCCGCCTGCGGGAAGGCTTGAGGCAGTAGACCTGAGGGTCTGGGAGTGTCAAATCCCATACCATCCGCCTTAGCTCAGGCGGCATGTTTTTGAAGCAGGTGAAGGTTGGCTGAGGTGTAGGGGGAGGAAGTGGAAATGGAGCGAATGCCTGGGACATGGTCGCTTTTTGCAGTCGCGCAGATGGAAGCATCTTCTATGACTGACGCCAGAAATGAGGGAAAGGGTTGGATGAAGTATTCGTCTAATTGGAGCTGCTGCTTGCATCCAAATACAGTTCTGGAAGCGTGAGAGAAAGGAGGGAAGAAAATGGCAGAGGTATACTAATGGGCTTCAACAGTAAGTTTTATTCTCTGACTTAAGACATATCATATATCATAACCACTCCTCAAGCCCATGGTGAATGGTAGTATAGACATCACGCTCAGGCTGGGCCTGCATCTATCGACAAAGAAAGAGAGTATTGTCTATCATGGTTGCAGCAGATATCACAAAGAACCACCAGGTCTTGAAACCCCGTTCATCCGCCTCTGCGTATGTACTCACACACCGGAAGGAGACCATTGGGCGGTTGAAAGCTTGGCAAAGAAAAGCTTAGGCTTCTAGAAGTCTGCATCATGACATTGAAGAACAAGACAGGGAACCGTGTGGACTAGTTCAAGCCACTTGCGTGGTCCGAACATGACGCTAGCAGTTGCTGGAGAGGAGACGACCAACCGCTAAAGAGGCATAAGAAATTAAAGAAACTTCGCTTGACTGAGAAATAATCACCGTCCTCTGAAAGAACTGGTTCACTTTGTGTTTTGGTTGCATGAAGTTGGTGAGTTGATGCGTTTGATCCTCGGTAGCCCGTCTTCCAAACGTAGCTGGAAACCATGGGACCCCCATGAATAAACGCGCAAAACCTGTGACTTACTATCGGATTCTATGTTGTGATATGGCATCTGGTCTGCAAAAGTGTCCGATGTCTGAGGACTAAGCGGATGGTCCCCTGACGTGGCTACAATCCAGGTACTGTAGCCCCTGCAATGGCTTTTGTGGCTGGGCCTGAAGCTGGCATTCACAGTTCTACTTTGCCAGCTTTTGCTAAAAGTAGATGACACTAGCCAATTAGGTGTAGGGCAGCCGAGATGTTGATCACAACTGGGCATGCTTGAGCTGACACAATGTCATCGCAAGAGCAGCACCAGACTAAATCGGGGCGAGCCTCTCCTCACTGTGTTACTTCAGCGCCGGTGGTTTCAGCAGTGGCGCAGAAAAATTGTATTAGGATTTAGATGCCGTCGTCAATGCTCATAATCGCGTAGTTGGAGTGAAGAGTGAGTCCCAGTCCTTTAGACTACCCTAGATTGAGACATAGAAATTTAGTTAGAGCGAGCGACGACCCATCAGCACCGAAAAGCAAAGAGGACGTCTGTCTGGTCGCGACTCGGCCTTGCGCGTCTGTAACGTGAGCCCATCCAAGAGATGGCGCAAATAAACAACATACTTACTTTCCGGGAATTTATGGTAAGGAAGCCTTGACGTTTAAGATCCGAAACGTATTTAGGGTACGCAATCTAAGACACATCTTGAGATCCAGGTTAAGCTGTAACAAGTCGAAATGTCTGTCGTCGTCGAACATATTACGCTCCGCTTTAGTGCGGGAATTTTCTTTTTCGGTCAAGAGAGACAACTAATTTGTGAGCTTACGATTGAAGGATGGATCGAATCCAGGCCTTTCGTTCATTACATGGCGATGTTTTCACTTTTTCTGTTCTCACTGCGCAACCTGGCACGATTGAGATGGAGCAAGATGCCCATCTTAAGATCATGACGCGCGGGTCACATCACCCGTAGAGGGCAAACAACCAGCCCCAGCGAGCAAGCGCAGACGCGAAGAGAGTGACGACGAAGAGGAAATTGTGCCGAAGGGGAACAAAACTTGGTTTAGCGGGTTATCTGGCCCTGAACACTGTCTTGTGAGTCAAGATGATCCGTGTGGACATACGCAGGTTGGTTGCATCTTCAGAAAGATCCTAAGATGAGCGTTAACACGGCCCAGGTCTTCAGATGGATCTTAAGATGCCCAGCTTCAGTAATTTGGCCAACAACCCGAATGCTTTAGGCGAAGACCACTGTAAGCCCCACTGAAAGAACACCAGCGCAAGTCACTTTGATGAATCTGTACCGCAAGCGCGCTTTACAAAGGGGTCTGCTGTAGACCCTTGGCGCCGTAACAGACGTTCTGCTGCGGACCGGACCCGAACACGAAGCAGATGCAGATGCAGGCACAGGCCCCCATGCAGATTGTTAAGACTTCTCTGTTAATGCTAAACGGCTAGACGGCCAAGGTAGAGGTACTGTCCAGTGCTTCAACTGCTGCTAGAAGCTCCCCACTGTGGCTGGTTTCGTACGTTACACAGCAGTAACTTGGCACACAGGCCACCAAAAGTCGGGGAGTCAGGGACTGCCCACTTCTAGCTGACAATCCATTTCCTGCTCGCCTCCCCGTTTTACAATGGCTGAGCCTACGCGATGCTAATTGGCGTTTTTAGTGAATTGACTTTGGATTTGCTCCAGCTTCAACGTCCAAGATAAGGTTCGGGCCGTAGATCTCACTACGCTGTAGTCATCAGTCTGGTCTGGTCTGGCACCAATCTGATCCATCTTAAGATGGAGTCAGTGGGGCAATCAAACACCATCAATCTGGCCAAGCTTACCTTCACTTGGATTTTGTGGTTGGGTTATTTATTGAGGTTCATCTCTTGTGTCAAGTCTCGCACTGTTTGTCCACCACCAAATGCTCTGCCCTGTCTGCTATGATGGCTGTCTTGTGTCCGATGCCGCGGGTCAAGCTGTGATTGTCGTCAGAGAAAGGTCTTGGAGAATTGAGCGCAAAATGAAGCCCCTTGAAGTTGACGATGCGCGTGTCGCGTACCGACAATGTATCCTATTCTGATGCTGCCATATTTCATCAGACTTATCCGCATATTTCTTGGCTATCAACCAGCTATTCTCTGTCCCTCCAGCTCTCAGATTTGCCTAGGTCTGATATACGATTCTCGCCTAACGCACTGCGACCAATTGCCCTCCGGTCATCACGCCTGAGGTAGCCCCCAATGACCCTCCGTAGGCCTATGAACAGAGGCGCAGCAGACTATTCAGCAGGCCTGTGACCAGTTGCAGGGCTGCCTGCATCAATCACCACACGACATCTCTCCATCAAGGACATTGTCCCTCGTGCTTGCACTACCTTCATACAAGGCTGAAATACTGCCATCTTGCTGATAAGTATTTCATCTCATCGTACTTCTTTTGTTTCAACATCATCGCGTGAGTTACCGTATGTCAGCTAAGCTACTCTCCGTTGCGCCGGCTGCTCACCCACTGCAAAACAATATCGAACGGCTTTCATCTTCTCAGCGTTTTCCTGGAAAGCACAATGTCGGGGACCTGCATTAGCACCACTGAAGCAACTTGCTGGAGAAGCGGCGGAAGAGAAGGTGAAATGTTTAATATTCTCTGTTTCTCGCTCGCTCCCTCGGTTTCCTTGCCCTTTCAACTTGATCGCTTTGCTGTATCATTCCACCGGCGCCATCATTTGATACCACCAACTCTCTGCTTATCATTTTGCTTCACACCCGCCGTCTCCCGCCATGGACGCTGGGAAACGCTCTCGTCAAGCGGACGTCGAGGAAGACGATGACACAGATTCCGACGTCCCTCTGAGGGAAACGCAAGCGAAACGTCTCAAACGTTTCCATGAACCAAATCCAGCTCGCGCCATTTCGCCTCCACCACCTCAGCCTTCGCAGCCAGCATCGTCAGCTCAAGCCCAGCCCGAAACTCAACCCAGCATTACCGCGATACGACCCGAGCGATCCCAATGTCGCGTTCAACCACCCAGACCCCGAGCCCAGGCCCCCTCGGTTCGAACTCAACTCCCTGCGACAGCAGCGATAAACAGTGCAAGGCAAGCATCTCAGAGCTCCAATGCAGTCTCGGAACCCTTTCGACCTGCAGCTACTCGTACTGCAAACACACTGCCCATCGACGGAAATGACTCGAATCCTCGTCAGTCACGCTGGCCACCACTGCCCGACAACAACGATATACCCCACGCCTTTTTATTCTACGCTGAAGAGATTCGCATTGTTGTGAACATGCTTTGCGGCACACGCATTGATCGCGAGCCATTCTTTGACCTCATCCGTCATAAACACACCGATCCATCCGCAAGGCCCGTCTGGAATATCCCAGAGATATCAGAGCAGAAAGAGATCGGGTTTCTCTGCGGCAAGTCCCCCGCTCACCATCATAGCCATGTCTAACCTATTCCTGCAGCATTCCCGGACCAGCATCACTCGATACCTATGTGTGAGCACAGCCACGCCTGCGAGGCTCTCTTCGTTACCCATCGCATCAAGTTCAGGAGCAGCTTTCGGGTCGATGCGACGTTCTATTGTGTTACACACGATGGCTATCCAGGTCGGCACTCGATGCTCTCTCTATGTCGGCATAAGTATAGAGATTCGGAGTACGTTCAAAGAACAGAGCAGGCCTTACTCCTGCAGGCACACAATATTGTCCGCGACTTTTGCTGGCAGCTTACAGCATGGGTGTTTAAAGATGCTTTCTATCGTAGGACGGATATGATGGACAAACAGGCCTTGTTTCGGCTTTTTGAGGATGCGGTGGCGTGTTGAAAGGGGTATAATCTGAAGAGGCGCAGAGATTGTGTTACGCAAGCTGACACTGATAGAGGGAAGACTGAGATACAGGCATCGGAATCGGAATTTCAGGTGGTTGTTACTCATCGGCCCGGGCCTTGAGCACGAACCACGGCTGGCCCGATATCCATCGTGCTGGAGTACTTTGGTCTTTGGTGCATGGTCTGATGATGGTAATGAGGCATGGTAGCGATTTGAAGATGGACATCTGTGTAAGAAAGGAAAGCTGATTTAGTATCAGGGCTTTGATTAGAAGAGAAGAAGGAGAAACCAACAACATCCCTCCGCCGCTCCGGTTCGCAGAAAGAGGCTGGTTGCTGATGGGTGTGAGAAGTATGTCTCAGTCTGACGATTGCCCTCATCGGCACAATTTGAAGGCTTACAAAGCATTAATCCCCGATGAGAGCTGGCGGTTGAATTGTAAGACGAAGTTTGAGCTAGTCTTGACCCTTTTGTAACTTGACTACTTCAGACGCCGGGGCAATCGACTGACTGGCGCAACGTATATGAGCAAACAGACTTCGTTATATCATCGACACCAACTTCTAGTTGAAGAAGAGCTGTGGTAATCGGAATACAAATAGGATAAAAAGTGGGTTTACCCAATTCCAAGTATATCAACAGAGCACTCTGATCTGAAAAGAAAAGCCATCTACGCTCCCTTGCCCAGAACTTCAAACTGAAGCCAACCGCAGCTTTAAAAGGGCTTATCCACAAGACCACGCCGACCACTCTTCACCAAGGAAGCTACTGTTTTGTTGTAATAGCATGTCAACGCACCTGGTTCTGCCGTTTCGCTTGGCACTCACGGCGAAGCGTCCGGGTCCAGGGACGGTTTTACAGAAGTTGATAATGACTTTTTTGTTTCCAAGGGTTTTGATGCGCTCGAGATAAAATACGACAGTTGCCTCCTTGTCCAGTTCGACTGCATATTTTTAGGACAGGCATTTCTACGAGGTTCGTTCTCTGAGAAGGTCAGAGAGTAATTATCGGATCTTCCGTCTCCTTTCTTGAGGCTGCGGTATCACGTCATATGGGCTTTGTCTCTCTTACCGGTCATATCTTCGATATCTTGATACTGGCTGCTTGCATCCAGTGCCGTCGACGAAGAACTTGAGTACAACGGCATCTGCACTACCAGGGAAAGGTGAAGAAAGGAAAGACGCTATATGTAATTCGGGAGATGTTCCCAGTATGACAATCGATGAAGCAATGAGTTACTGCTACCTCATCGTCAAGCCTCGGGTCTGGAGTGATTGAGGAGGCAGTACTCCTTGGCTGGCTATTCAGCAGCCCGGATATTAAATCACAGACCAGGGATTTTGGAGAGGACTGCTATTTCTGATGCGAGATGGGTACAGAGTGTTATATGGCTGGAGGGCAAAGTGGCAGTGGTGTGTCGTGGGAGATAATGAGAGCGAGGGATGGGAGGCCTTAGAAAAGGGGTATTATGTTCCAGAATGATAGAAGGAGAGTTGGAAAGAGGTTGTAGGATACATCTAGGATAGGGTCCCCTAGACCAGATAAGCTTTGTCATGTGGCTTTATCAAGAGGCATGGAATAAATCCATATTGTCAGCTAGGGGCAGACGTGGCTTACACAACATGGGAGTCCAGAAGGTCTCGTCAAGCTAAATGCACACGCCATTGTGCCCGCAACCAGCTGTAATTATACGTCAACCAAGCGTATATGATTATGCATCATGGCAATCGGGCTTGGAACAGCAGACACAGTCCTCCGTGTGTAAACGGTGAGTGAGCGTTGATCGCAACTTTTCCAGCGACGGAAAAAGATGAACAGACCTCTATATTGAAATACGGTTAGGGAGTCAAAACGAAGAGTTTGACAAAGCATGGATGATGTATTTGATCAACCGGTGAAGCCGTACAACATAATAAAAAGACATATTCGCTCCTGGAACAGGCAAAAACATACAACAGCGGGGATTCGCTGGTCGTCACCGACCCAACTACTAATCCGCCGGTTAGTGGCTTGACTATGGGAGAGCAGACGGGATCCCGTATTTTCCACTACCTATGGTCGTATGTAACAGGGAATGATGCAGAACAGATTATATCGTTGACATACTGATTAGCGAGGAACAGCGCTCCAATTGCGTTCTGGCGAGAATGGCAATGCAGTCCATCGCTAGACTCTAGTCATGAACAAGGACGATTCACGCCCGTATTTTCTGATTGCAAACGAACAATGTCAACTTTATAAGATGTAGTCAACTCTAGCGATCGACAAGAGACCTAACAACTGGGTGCCGGCCACGGATATTCTACAGGGTGTCTCCAGTGGCCTTCACGTGCGTGATATGCACCAAATCCCATTCCATCACGTCAGGCTGCTGCCCGAGTCTCGCTCATAGAGACGCCACATAGCTGAAAGTATTGGTTCGCTCGATACAAGTACAAATACTGGGCAGTATCCAGCAATTGAGGTTACTGCTTCCCGGTGGCGCGAGCTTGAGACTTTCTCCAAGTTCCGTAGTATAATGTTCTGTCTGCACTGAAGTCGCTTTTCCCAACCAGTGCCTATGCCATTATCATGAGTACATCCTGACAAGCTACTAAATCTCAAGGGGACCCAAGGATAGCTGCATGGTCTCTGCAGATACTGTTGAAGTACAAAGTAAAGAAAACCCGACAAGTCTCTTTCATCCAATCACCCATCCACTCACTCATCCAACACAACTTATCTCGTCTTACATAGACTGGAACGCAGTCTTGGCCAGCGTAGCCTCCCACTGCTTGATCCTCTTAGCAGCTCCAGCCTTACTTCTCTCTTCACCTCGAATCTTGTCCCCAAGCTCCGCAAGACGAGCACCAGACTCCTGCTCCGCCCTCTCCGCAGTCTCAAGGGCTCCTTTCGCTGCTTCAAGGTGTATCTCCAACTCAGAAACCTTGCATCTCAGTTCGTATATGCTACTGCTGTGCCTTTTCATGAGTTCCTGGCGAGCTTGCTTGAGCTCGGCGATCGTCTCATCATTCTTCTCTGCGCTGGTTTTCTCGGCCTTTACGCAGGCTTCAAGCTTGCGTCGTTGGTTGAGAAAAGCCGTGAAATTGACTTCGAGAGACTGGGCAAGGGTGAGAGGATCGTCGGAATTGCTTGAAGGTGTGCTTGTCTCTGACACTCGCGCGTTGCCTACAGGTGCAGGGTCTGCAGATTGAGCCTTCGCTGCTTCATCGTCTGCAGGTCCTCCAAACTCATGTTCATCAGGTGCAGGCTTCGGGGAGCTCTCGGATGACGAAATGAGCACTGTCTGCTCTGATCGCTTTGGCGTCGCACAAGAAGAGGTCATTGCAAGTTCCTGCTTCGAGGGGATTGGCTCCATGGGGTTTAAAGGCTGAGCCGAAAAGTAACTGCAAGAAGGCGCTTGAAGCTTGGGATCAATGGAGATAGCCTGATCCTTTGGTATTCCAGTGGCAATCGTCTCGCCGCTCAAGCCGGCGCTTGGGGTGGAGGTCAAGGTTTGGGTAGCTATGTCCTCATCTGCACCAGCCGGTCCCATCATCTTTATGAATTCCATACGGGCGGTTGCGATGTCGACATATCGAGGAACCCTCTCCTCAGCCATAAGGCATTTCAGGAAGACAAGCGCACAGATCTCCCCGCTAGGACTATCTAGGTGAATAGGGCCGCGCTGAAAAGAATCAGTATCATACGCCACAGAGACTTTGGTATCCAACTTACTTGTTTCACGAACATCATCCCTTTCATGCTGAGCTTTCGTTGCGATCTTAACCAATCTACAAGTTCCGCTGCAGGGACATTGGTGAAATGGTTTGTCAAGAGGTGGACCAGAGTTACCCTGCCCACGTCGAGATGACAGAGACCCCATTGGTCATTGTCTTTGTTGTAGACGAAGAATGCGATGTGTTGGGCTTTCAGAGCGGGATGTTGAGCGTGGATTTCATCGGCTCCTGTGAAGGAGGAGCCGGGTGGGAAGATGTACCAATCTGAAGGGCGGGGGAACAGATTCGCACACCGCGCCATGTCTTGGCTGTCTAGTCCAATGCCGTTTCGTAGGGCATCGATGGTAGCACTCATAGGTTTGTCTATATCGGTGCTCTGAGGCTGGCTACTAGTGGACTCTGTAGCTTCAAGGACTGATGTCTCGGCGATCGTTACTGACTCTGCAAGGGGCTCGGTCGTCGGCTCGGTACTCTCTCTATCAAACGATGCTTGCTCATCTTGCCTGCTGGCCACCTCGTCTCTCTGAGTCTGAGAAGGGGTCTTGGGCACCAGATTCTCAAAATCAATCTTGTTAAAGATTCGCTGGTGGATCCTTCCGACAGGATCTTGACGGACAAGCTGGACCATCAGACCTCCCTCACTCCATAGCTCGGCAGGATCGCGATTGGCATCCTGAAAGGCCTTGATGACCTTTCTCATGCCAGCCTTGTTGGCGGGGAGTGGTTTCCCGGCGGGTGCGAACTCAGGGGGCCACCAGCCGGGACATCCTTCATCAGGCTTGTCTGACTTGCGCGTCTTCTTCTCTTCGGGACTCGGAGGTGGTGAAGCTGAAGCTGAAGCTGAAGCTGATAGCTTTGGCTGCTTTGCGGGTCGGCTCGGGGAAGGCGAGCGGCCTGCCTCAGCATGTGGCCGCTTTCGAACTTTGCCAGACCTCTTGGGAGGCATAGTCAGGTAGGCTCTGCGTGCTTGTCAGCTGAGTCCCTCGACCCCTACTTTAGCGTGACTGCGCAAGCCCTATTGTTATTCGTAAGAGGCAAACAGCGCTTCAAAGATGGCATATGACACTTGCTCAGTAGGGAACATGAGAGCTTGCGGAAGTGGAGCGACTGTGTGCAGGTCGTTATGGTTGAACTGACGATATCATTTCTTGACAGGGAGTGCGAGCATCGGGCGTTGTCGTGGAAACAAAACAAAAAGCAAACGTTTGAACGACTGTCTGTCTGTAGCAGAGCACTGTGGGTGACTATCAGTGGATTCCTCAGGCTACCTTGCCCGTCGCGCAGTGCAGTGCCAGGCGTGATCTGAAGAGCCAATCATTCAGTTTCATTTTTGTGTAACCAGATGACAAAAGCTCCCATCACGGTGATCTTGAATGAGAATGTACTTGGTGATGTTGAAATAGATACTTCTAGTGGCCTAAGAACCGAGTCGCCCAATTCAACCATTTAACGTGTTAGTGATGTAGAACAGATGCAGGAATGTGTCTCGCGAGTGTATATGGTCCCATATCAGCATATCCATTCTACACATTTGTTGCACTACCACATCCAACCAACAACTCATTCATAGTAACCAACAATTGGGGATGACCTCCGAACGAAGAGGCGTGTCACAAGGGCTGTTGGGATGTTTGTCCGCGGCACATACGTTTGTTGACGGCGAAACATGCCAGGCACTCAAAACAAACTACATTAACCTGAATTTGGGTACAAAAACTGCCAAATCGCCAAAGGGAGTAATATTGCCCAGTCTCAATATTCACCATGGTTATCTTGTTCAGCAAATCCCCCTTATATGACCTCAAAGAGCTGAGAAACGATTTGCTTCTGTGAGTGAATGGGGCTTCCAGTACTTGAACTGTTAGCCTGCTGTTGACAGGCCGTGACGAATGGTTAGAGTAGATGCGGTACTATTCCTTCACGTCTTTGAAAGGACTTTCCATCTCACAAGGCTTCTTCCGTCCATCATGGCCAACTTTCTTAGTCTTGGGCACATTGCCCCTCAGATACACGCATATCACCCATCGTAGCCGCGTAAGGCGCAGCAGCTTATCGCCAGTGACCTATACCCTCTTCAAGGGGTTTCAGTAACCGTAGCTTACTGAATTGACTAATTTCCAGTCCGGTAAATCTAGGCACTGAACTATGCATGTTTTCAGATTCATTATCTGCCGGCCGCTTCACTGGCCGTGTTGCCTGGGCTTCGCAAGTCCGGTCGTGTTCAGGAGTAAAACCATATTGTTTTCAGCCACAAGGTTTGTTCATAGAATAATTGAATTGCACAAAGGGTCTAAACACAAAAAGATGTCTTTGTTATACTGTCGCACTATATAAGCCACTTTGTTCTTCCCCCCCCCCCCCCGACGATCCTCAATTACTTCTCTTCCACCTCTGCCTGTCTTTTCGTCTCATTACACCTGGTCTCACCACATCAACCGCAATGTTCATATTACGCGTCCAAAGAAATTGGCATCTTATGGCGCGGCAGATGCAGCGACTCCTCAAACAGATGAAGGATATGGCCGAAAAGCAAGACGCAGACTTCAACGATATCCTTGTAGGCTTGGGCATCAACATGGATTTTATCATTGATCTGGGAATTCTTGCTCCACTGTCTGAGGCCACGGATGGTGAACTGCGCTGGCCAAAAGAGTGGGTTGAGCCCAAAGGCACATTCGATGCCAACTTGGACATGCTTAAAAGTTGGGTCATTGATTGTAACTCAAGACAAGAGGACGAGGCCGAGGCCGAGGCCGATGCTCCACGCCTGGTCAAGGGCCAAGGCTGTTTGTTTACGCCGCCTCGTCTAACTGAGAGACAAAAGCGAGACATTTTTAAACGTCAATGATGTCGAATCGATCTTGCCAACTTTGATTCCGACACCGACGACAGCCTATTTCAGCAAATCTGCATGGGCTTTACAAGATGAAGGGTGTTTGTGATCATGCCTTCGGTTGCCTGCATATACAGACTGTTATCCCCTTCCTGCACAATAACCTCTCAAAAGATGCAACACCTCATCGGTATGTCGTAGGAGAGAGGCTTTCGGACATACAGTCATATTCCCAAACTAACCTAATCAATGGAAGTTGGTGCAAGCATGATAGCCGTAAAAGTCAATGTACTTACTTAAGCCCGTTCTCTTACCACTGCATGTTTATTTATTGCCGTGCAATTTCATCAGATCCTGAATGGTTCGGCCCTCAAGAGCTATTGGTGTCTTTGTTTTCCTCCGAATAAAAGTCTACCTTTCTTAAATTCTCTTACTGTGTCTGTTGTCCCCAACATGGTGCTTAGAAGCCGTCTTCGTCATGGAAGGGCGACGAGCTTTGAGCCAATATCCTTCATGAACTCTAATGATAAGATATCATCAGGCTTGTTGAGATAAACGAAACTCATTGATAACAAAGCATACCGGCGCCCTTTCTGTCAAAGAGTAACATTCTCCGACCGATCGGCTAACAGCCAAGCCACCCACGGCATCGCGTTTCTACCTTCAGTCATATTTCCAATGATAATCCGACATGAAAACAATACAATTTTCACACAATCCTATTATCACCTCGAGGAACAGCACCTAATCTAAGTCATTTACTTCCTTTGGAGCCGCAGATGAGCTCGATATTTTTTGTTTCCAAGCGTTGTTCTCTGAGAATCATGGTTGCTGTTCTTAGTCATGCAGCCGGCCTAAAACGGAACGCGCGTACCTTCATCTTAGCTGAACTCACAGTCTCACAACACCGTGTCAACTCTTATCAGTACAACACAGCCTCTCACCCACCAAGCAACTCCAAATCACAAACAAAATGATCAAGCTTGTCGCATTCGACCTCGATGGCACTCTCGCTGAGAGTAAGCAGGCAATTCTCGACTCAATGGGCGAAGCCCTCGCCGATCTTTTGACCGTCGCCCACGTCGCAGTCATTTCAGGCGGCGATTGGCCTCAGTTCCAAAAACAAGTCGCGAGCCGTCTTCCCGCGCGAGCTGATCTGTCCAAACTCTGGCTCATGCCTACCACCGGCACAAAGCTCTACACGCACAAGGGCGATGAGTGGAAGGTTGAATATGCGGAACTGTTCAGCGAGGAGCAGAGGAAGAACATCATCGAGGCTTTCAACGCTGCCCTCGACGCAACGGGCTTCCAGCCAGAGCAGACTTGGGGTGAGCGCATTGAGGATCGAGGCAGCCAGATCACCTTTTCTGCACTCGGCCAACAAGCGCCTCCGTCGGCAAAGGAGGTTTGGGATCCCGATTTTGAGAAGCGAAAGATTATCCAGGCAGATTTGTACAAGCGACTCCCAGACTTGTCGATCAACATGGGCGGAGCGACTTCCATCGACATCACGCAAAAGGGCGTTGACAAGGGCTACGGGCTGAAGAAGCTCTCGGCGGCGAGTGGGATTCCCCTGGAGCAGATCATGTTCATTGGAGATGCCATCTTTCCGGGTGGAAATGACTACCCCGCTAAGGAATTGGGACTGCACACGGTGCGAGTGAAGAACCCAGACGGGACCCTGGCTGCTATTGCGGGCATCGTTGCGTGCTTGAGCGAGACTGGGCCTCTGCATTGACATTATACACCTACCACCGGCAATTCGCGACTGTGAAGGGAGGTAAACACTTGCGACTTCTGAAGGAGATGAGCAGAAAACTTCGTTCATGTTGGGGGGGGGGGGGACACAGAAGATGGCAACAAACGACGGATCCTGCAAGTTTTGAGAATTCAAGAACTTCACAGCTGATATAAAGCAATTGACCGTCATACATGCAAATCATTGATGAATGTGTATGTTCACTTGAGCGAGATGATATCCACCTTTGTCGATATGTCTCAATGCGACTCGTGCATCCAGATGCGTAACAGAGCTCATAAGGGCCATGGCCAGAGCCTCTCAAACATTTCTTGTTCACAGCATCCATACGGCGTTGACGAGTTGATTACATTTGAGGAAACCTTATAATTCCATGTGCAATTTCGATTTTCAGATGTTTGGTTTAGTAGTCAAATCCTCGCTAACCTGTGACCAAGTTGCCAGATTCTTTTATTCCAGCTTGATGCAATGGACCGCGGATATGTAGGTTCGACGAGTCAGTATGAGGATGATAAGGACTTTAATCCAAGGATCGATGTGTTGAGTGTCTCAGCTTGTGTAACGGAAACAATTTGAATCATATGTGGTCATAGCCATGGAAGTATTTGTTTCGATCTCATCATCGACGGTCGGAGGACTTAGGAAATAATAATAAGAAGACTTACTTTTTAAAAAAAAAACAGAACCTGGGTTTCCCTGATGGCTGGTCCTTATTTTGCCCAAAGATGTCAACTTTTAGGAGTAGATGACCTCAACGGCGAATCTCTCACTGGCCTAAGTGCCACTGGCCTCGAATATACGGACAAAGGCGACAGTTAATCAAGAAGAAAAGAAAACAAGAACTGTTTGCGGCATTTTCTACTTTTGAACGTAGGATTCGTGCCCAATATTTTCCAAGGGGGCCCTGCTCGGAAGAGCGTTGATCCATGCGCAGCCAAGATGATATCGAAGTCATGCGTCTACTGAAGGACTCTACTGAAGGATGATTATCACGCCTTGGCCCTCGTTGACCGCGTACAATTTGGAAATATAAGTAATATGCGATCAAATGCTCACTAACTATTCGAAGCCCATAATACAAAACTCAATGAAAACACTAGCTAGCTCAGATGTTGACTTTGTCAATGTCGTACACCATCTGCTGCGTCTCTGAACCCCAGCGATCCATACCAAACGCCCAAGCTCCTTGCATAAACAGCCAAAGTCCCGTCTCCTTCAGCCACAAGCCCCATGGCCCTGTCTTTCTTCTCATCTTAGCATTTCCCGAAGATCTGCTCGCAATATCCTCAACTCTTGGTCTCCGGATGTCATCAAACTGCTTGAATGCATGCTCAAGAGACAGTTCCTTCTCGAGAAGACGAGCAAGGAGGAACGCGTCTTCAAATGCCATCGATACTCCTTGGCCTGCATGAGGTGGCATAGCATGTGCGGCATCACCGAGAAGGAGGGTCCTTCCTTTGTACCATCTTCCTCCGGTGGGTAGCTTGTAAATCGGGTAGAACTTCACAGCTGTCGTACTGCCAATAAGCTCTCGTAAGTTTTGGCCCCATTCTCCACCCGCATCTTGGAGAGTTTTGTGAAGTTGAGCCTTAAACCCCTCCACTTCCTCCCGTCGATGAAGCTCCCATCCATTACGGGCGTCCTCAGAGTCCGGCAGCGGTACTTCTTTAGACAAAAACCACAGAATCTCGTCATCGGAGGCAGTGCATGTCATGACACCAAACATACCCTCTTGTGTCATTGTGACATTCATGCCTCTCATTTCTTGTCGAGCTGCCTCGGAAACACATGAAGCTGGGACCAGTGCGCCGAGGCCTGACATCCCCGTGTATACAGGTGCTTGATCTGGATCGACGTGCAGGCGTCGTACAGCAGAGTGAATCCCATCGCAGCCAAGAAGAAAGTCTGCCGTATCCCTGGTCCCGTCAGAGAAGGTCGCGGTGACTGAATCAGCCGATTCTGTGATGGAGATGAGTGATTTGCTGTAGTGCAACGCGATACCAGCTTCAGCAGCGGCTTCCAACAAGGTGTCGAGTAGATCAGTTCGCTTGATTCTCATGTACCCATAACCAGTCTGTTCTTCTGCTGCAGCAACCATGTCTCTTCGTCCCAGGACTCCTCCGTTTATAGAGTGGATAGTCATGTTGGAGTGGCTACTTCCGCGCCCCTTGAGCTCTGAGTAAACTCCCAAGCGATCAAGAAGTCGCAGACCATTTGGCATGATGCCGATGGCGCTCCCCAATGTGGAGGGTGCTGATCGGAGCTCATAGACTGTGCAATCCACGTTCGCTTGCTGCTGTAGGCGTAGAGCGGTTACGAGACCCGCGGGGCCTCCGCCGATGATGATGGCCTGCGGAGAGGTTAGCTTGGTTGATAACCTGTAGTTTTGGGTATTTGCCTTTGTTTTCTTCATTGTTCTTTTTGAGATTGATTGATGAGATTTTAAAGTGTTTTTGTCTTGTTTATTACAATTGCAGTTGCCGTTTATATACTCCATGTGTCGGAGGTCAGGTGCGGAAGTCCGCGGTCGAGTATTTCCCTTTTCGGCCATCCGTGAAAGCCTGTGTACCGGACCGGGCTAATCGGGCATTAACTTCAACTCCGCTTGTTACAGCAGGAAACCATAGCAAATGATCATTTATAATAGCACAAATCTCCAAGTCCAGACATACATTAGGTACCGACGTCAAATAATGGCATGGGAATGCAGAGTCCTAATATTGATACCCCCACGCAGACTGGAACTGGGTATCTCCGTCATAAAGGGTTTAGATGGTACTAAAGAAATAAAGAACTGTCCAATTTATCTCTTGTCTCCTACAACACAAGCACCATAGTAACTTCATGCTACAACCTGCCTAACACCACGTTTCCAACTTCTTAACTGAAGTTGCTAGGATCAAAGTCGAGGTCTTGCAGAAGAGAAGTCCACTGGAACTCTTCGAGGTCAGGCACAGCAGCCAAAAAGTCTGACCAGAGCTGGTGCGAATGTTCGTCCCCGAAACTGTCTTCCTGCATGCCCACTGTAATATCATTCACGTCTGTGAAAGCACTTTCAGGAACCGAATCCAAGTTCGCGCTTGATGTTCCAGCCGGCGAAGCTGATGTCATCGCATTCGCACGCTGCTTCTGCAGAGTCCCCATGACCTGTTCCATATTCTTCTCGATACCTCTGATCAAACTCTCTGCGTTCTTCCTCGATTTGTTCAACGTCTCGTACGCGCCTTTAACCTTTTCCTTGATGGCTTCGGCGTCGGGGGCATCAGGATCGTGAGATAGGTCGACTGCCAACGCTACAGCGGCTGAGGTGACGTGCAAAAAGATGACCCAATACCTCTCTGGTCGAAAGTGAAGCTTGGCAACCGGGTCGTCCATCATGCGTCTGAGTTCCAAGATCTTGTATGCTGATGCGAGGATCGTGGTTCGAGAGTAAGAATATCGAGGATTTGAGTACGCTGCGAGGTGGTAAGGGCGATGAAGTCGACAAATGCGTGCATGGATGCCGAGATGGAGACTGATCCGCTGCCAGTAGATAAACGGCCTCAATTCGCAGATCTCCTTGGATTTATGCATACTTTCGGGGTCGGCCTTGCAGAACACGGGAAGACCGTCGACAAAATCTTGCAGTTTTCTGTCAAGCTGAAGAATGACTCTGTAGTCTTCTTCGGGGGCGTCGTCGGCCAGGGGTGCGATCGCATCGATAATCTCACGAGATATTTCTGCCGTTCTGAGTCGCAGAAAGAAGAATGTCATGTCTGTTGGCACGGAGATAGACAAATTGGGTATGTCGCCTGAAATGGTGAGCTCAGCATCGTCGACGTTACGCGGTTGCTTGACTCTCATCAGCCTCGGGATGAATGTGTAAATACCCTCCTGGGAACTCCCAGAGAACGAGGTCAACCTGAGGGAGAGTCAGCTAGATCGGCCAGTGATGATAGAAAGGATGCGTTACCAGTCAGAGGCAACCATGTTCCACCATATACGTCTCTGAACCTCCAAGTCAATGTTGCTGGCCGGGCTTATTTCTCGCTCTTTCTGTGCTGCCGGGCTGTCTAAGCGATGAATCATCATTTCACGGCACATATTGTAGCATCGGCTTCTGAGACCTAAGGCCTTGATCGGGACGATATCATCGGAGTTGATGGCCACGTGCGCGAGCGTACATATGGCTGAGACAGCAGTGACCGAGGGCAGTAGTGGTATTTCAGCGTCTTCAATGATCGACAGAGCAGAGTGTAAGTAACAGTCGAAGGCTGACACAGCGTTCGCTTTTGTGGCTTCAAGCCTATTAAGAAGTTCATCTGTCCAAGCCAAGGCCGCACCAGCAAAGATACTGAAAAGCATGAGCAGCTCGTCAAGCTTTGGGACTTGTGTGTCAAAGCGCATACAGCTATAAACGAGTGATCTAGTCGATGGTACGTGTAGAACACCGAATGTAGGCTGGATGGTGTGAATGAAGTGTTCGCACAGCAGATGTGCTTGATGGGCAGGCGGAAGATTCGACGTCAAATGGTTTAAGCGCGCCTTGATAGAAGCAGATTTATTGTTTAGGGGGGCCTCATTGTAGCAGTTGAACAGCTTGCGGCCTGTATGGTATGATCAGCTTCGGGCGGACTGACGTAACAGGAGTCATTCTTGGGGCTCGTACGGGAGGAGGTTGATTCTGGCTGGGTAAGCTGCGATACTTGAGCTTCATTTGGAAAGACAGCATTCTCTAGTTTTGTTAGCCTGTCAAGCATTTTCTTGTTTCTAGTGCCGTTAGCACGGCGAGGGAGTGAATGTTAGGAACAGGCTGACTGACAGGTCCAACTGTTTCAGAGGAGAGAAGGCGGAGGTGCTTTCGCTTTGGTCGACTGAAGCATCACCAAGGTTCCGTTCCGGTAAGGCCTCACTCTCCAAAGAGTTGGTTGCTCGACTACCATTCTCGTAAATGCACGTGAGATGCCGCTGGGTACAGTTCGAACAAGGCTGGTTGCGATCACAGCGCCGCTTTTTCTCGCGGCAAGGGCGGCATGAAACTGGCAGTCGAGATGCCCTGTACGTCGACATGATAGGTGCTCCGGAGTAATTGCGCTTCATCGTGCGAGACATGCGCGCATCGGCATCGGCATCGGCATCGGATAGCGATCAATTGGCAGGGTCAGATTCATGAAGCGGAGATGTTGGGTCGAAGCCGCGGGTCCGCGGAGTAGAATTGACAAATACGGTTAGAGAAAAAGAGACAGATATCTTCACGTGATGCTCGCATCTTGCAGCTAAGGTACCCTGAGAGGATCGCCATTAAGTAAATACCTAAGTAATGATGATACAGGTAAAGGAATAAGGGACAGAAAATAATTATGTCATTCTCATTAAGCCACGCTCATAATACAAATATTTACTCCATTCCTAAAACCTTCCGCAACTAAAACCGGTTGATCGATCATCTTAGTTCTCTCTGTAGAAATATTAGCTTCATTGTAGCAAGTTCCAAGTTTTGTTAGACTTACAATATAGCCAATTCAAGATCACCTTGGATCTTCGCTTTCAGTTGTAACTCAACATCGAGATCCATATCCAATCTCACACGAGGCGCGCTGCTTTTCTTTCCCGTCTCTTGATTCGCTGATTGAACAGGCTGCTGGCCTTGGGGCTGATTGATGTCTCCTTGAGATCCAGCGTTGAATCGATCGATTGTGTTATTCTGTGAATTTCGGGTCATTTGCTTTGACTCATTCTCGCTAGAATGGTCGCTCTGATCACCGGCGGTTGAGCGGGTTTCTTGATTCGTTCTTTCGGTTGCCATCTTGGATGTCTTGGGAGATGATTAAGTGTGATCTTGGGTGGTAGGTACTTGTGTTATGCTTTCAACAAAGTGTTTTGGTACTTAGACTATTGAAGTTAGTGAAATTCAGAAACCGCTCTGTTCTCTCTTCATGAGTTGATATGATATCTGTCTGGGTGGCGATTGGAAAAGTGGCACTATGATGTCAATGCCCCCGTCTTCAAGCAAGGACAGGTTTCATCCAACACGTGACCATGATGTCGATGAGTATTATTTGTCGAACGATTGGTGCCAAAGCTGTTGCTAGATTTCTATGGAACATGTAGTTGCACCGTGGAACCGCTTGGAACAGAAAGCTGAGGACGATTCCTCGGAGATCTGGTCAGGTCTACAGCACGATGTCCCTGTCCCCGACTCATTCAATGACTAAGGCCGATCAAAACCACCAGCCCCAGGACCTCCCTTCGCAAGAGGATGGAACTCAAAAGACCCAACAAAAATGCCCGAATCCAAGTACTTTTTTGCCCATTCCCTCACATGCTCCGAACTAACATGCGCCGCATACGCGTCTCGATCAGTGAACCTTGAGCATTGAAGTCAGCTACAGTCGTGCTTCTCATACCTGAAGGACTTACTTCTCCATGCAGACGAACTCATCTTTAACCTCAGTCTTGTAGAACCTGTAGATCTTGGCCCCCTGTTCCTTCAAGGTCGATTCGGCAACTTCGGCCAGACACGCATGGGCCTAGCCATTGAGAAAACAGACTGGGCATAACAGTGTGATGGGGCTCATACCTCGGCAATTCTGTCCGGATTCACTGTGATAGTGGAAACAGAAAAGTATCCTCCAGAGTCTTCAGAGGCCATATTGAGTTGAATTGATGAAAGTATGCTGTGCAAGTGTTGTTTCTCGTCTTGGAAGTGATGAGGTTTCGGTGAGAATAGATGGGGGCGTAAGCACTACCCTGGCTGAACTCCGCGGAGCCAAGTGAGAAGTGCTCGTCAGCTTTTGCTGACAATTGTTCCGCCACTGTTTCTTTTGCCAGTAAGACTGTGGGATTCACCAATGTCAACTCACAAGAAGTAAACCTTGTAGGGAGGGATAACTCGGTTCTCCGGCTGGATGAGCATCTTCAGCTGGCTCAGATAAACATCAAAGATTAATAAGCGTAAATATGCAATGTCGCGCTCTCTCGACTAATATCGGGTATTCTAAACTGTATACAAGATTATACAGACGAGCCAGTCTATTTTCGCCATACTAATTGGCTATCAATCAGCTCGCCAACGCTCCTTCATTAGTCCATACGCTCAGTGAAAATTATACAATGCCTTCACTAAGTGTATTCCTCCTCTTCCGTCGCCTCAGTCAACGTCAAGTCCAAGTCTCGTTGGTCTCCCTTCCAGACGTTAGGCTCACTGGTCATCTCGACTTCTTTCCCGCGCGTGGGCTCATTTTGTGAACTCAGCCTCTGAAATTCGCCCGCCAAGGCTTCCATGCCTATATCGTCCATGCTCTCACTCGTTGAGTCGAGGTTGATTGGGTAAAGACTGCTATACGTGCCCTCTTGGTTGAGCGCCCGTGTTGTAGCTCTGATGTCCTCAATCATGCTGTTGTCTGTCCAACCTTCACGTTTGAAGGTTCCGTTTTGCCACCCTATTGTCATCAAGCCCTCTGTAATACCTCGGAGCCCCTTGCACCAAGATGCTATCGACAAGCATCCACGCGCCGCCAAAATGAAGTAAAACTGAGCGTCGGATGTACCGGGATTTCGAAAGACCTCGTTGATGAGTGTGAGAAGTCCAGGGGTGATGAACATGGTAAGGTTTGTTGACTCGAATCGCTTCCTGTATAGATAGATAAGCCGTTTGAGTTGATGGACGGATGCTTCGTGAGTGGCAGTGGCAGTGGCAAGTTCGCTTCCCCCGGCGTCTTCATAGCTTCTACGACCGAGGAACGGGCGCCAAATGTCTATCACTGCTGTCTGGTACCAAATACTGCAACGATCAGTTGACAACCTTCAGGTGGACTCTACTCGACTCACTGTAGCACCAGAACATGGTGAGGGCAGTTCTCACTCCTCTGTACGTTCTCTGGAAGGATACTGGCCCATTCAAGTAATAGTTGATACATTCGATGGGCGTGCGACATTGGTAGACGGCTAAAGTGGCTATAGTCGTCACGAAATGCTTGATGTATAATGACCCAGAACTTGGATATCCATGTGAACGTGCTTCCCATATGGTCATTCAGGGGCGGCCCGGATACATCTCCTGGTATAGGTAAAGATGGCGGATGTCTTATTCGGTGTTTTGCTCGGAAGTTGATACAATGGAGACTACAACCAATCAGTATGTATGTCTGGATGGTCGGGGCAATGATACCAACCTGTGCCAGCCAAAGGCACCCCAGGCAGCAAACGATGCTGCTGTCCTTGTTTCGTCGTCGTCGTTGAAATCAGGTACTGATGATCCATCATCACTGAACAAACCAAGCTCATAACCTATTTTTACACTGGCGTCGAGATAGAACAGACCAACTTTGTCTTGGCCATTCTGGTTACAAGTAAGGGTAAGAAGCATTGCTGATGATAACGTAGTGATAGCAGTATGGTCTGTTAGATCCTTCCATCGCCTCTTGGCCTCTCTCAAAAAGGCAAGAGAGAGTGTTTGAGCTCGTGGCTCAAACTGAGAGTAGGAAGCCTGCCCGTGTCAGCGAGAGTCTAGTCAAGGGCAAGGGGAATAGCTTACGCAGGCCCAGGCAAGAAGTGAGCTGACGAGAAGTTGTGAGCAGAAGCGACCTCCACCTGCCACAAAATCTCGGATGAATAGATCAGCATCGAAAAGTGCTAGTAGAGGGTGTTCGTTGGCTAGATAGAAAGATATTGCCTGCGCAGCCAGGCTTTCGGGTATAGGTATGGAAGTCCACTGCCATATTTGAAGAGATTCTAGCCGAGGGTCAACGCCAGTATCTCCAGTGGTGTCGCTTGGCGTCGAGAAGGATTCAGAAGTCGTGGGTGTCTCCGATCTTTGATCTGATTCTATTGGCGAGAAAGGTGTCAAGGGTGCTGTCGCTTGTTGATTCGAAGATGCGAGGGCCCGTTTGTTAATTGCCAGTAGACCAAGATCTACATCCTTGATGTCAAGAGTTTCCAGTACAGGAAACACACCAGAAAATCGCATGTTTAGGTCCAGTTCCATTGTTGAATCCGCTGAAGTTCCCGCAAGACTGGTGGCAAGGGGGTCGGCTGGAGAAGGTGGCTTTATGATGTCTGAGTCAAGAAGTTGCAAGAATTCCGATACAGAATCAGTGCTGCGCAATGTCTCCAGCAGATGTTGAGCTTGCTCATCAGGGGCTGTCCTCAGGAGCTCCAATGCCTGAAAGAGATCTTTAGAGCCCTTTCGCAGCTCTATCATCTTTTCATGCGAAACTTCAGCACGATATACACAATGCTGTCTTCGGCTCGCGCAGGCCGAACATGTTGGTTTACGACCATCACACTAGAGATCAAAAAGTCTGTTACTCATACATTACACTAATATCCTTTGATACGGCAGGACAAACCTTTGATTTCCGGACGCGGCAGTTGTTGCATGCGACTGATGTCAAGGATGCCCTGGGTATGTCGGAGACATCGAGAGGCGCATATTGAGGCTCATGATCAGAGTCTTGGAGCTTTCTGGGGAGCAACAGTCGGTTAGACTTTTGGTGTTCTTGTGCTCGCGTAGGTTTATTTGAACTGCTCATGAGGACTTCGAGATAAAAATAAATAAAAACGAGTGTAGATTCAAAGGGCTTAGTTGTTCTCGAGAATTTGCCTCCGAGGGGCAAAAGAGGAATGAGATTTTGCTGGGGTCAGCTGCCAGTCCCAAAGGAGAAATGATGGGCGAGTATTGGAGTGAGATGAGAAGCGGTAGAATGATGGTGTTGGTTCGAGTAGACTTGAGCTAGCTGAAAGGTTGATACAGGCAGTTTCCGTGTGTCGCATGTCGGCTGTTGATTTCTCGGCTGGACTGGGCTGTCGTGTTGCTGGAACGAGACAGAGCGTACGTGACTGAGCGACCCCATTCCGTCTTGAACTTGAGAGAACAAGGCCAGGCCAGGCCAGGCCAACCCCGCCTGGCCGCATTTCCTCCGGCACGGTCTGATTGGAGAGACCACGATACTTAGTCATACGATAAGGCTATTAGTGCATAATTCTGGATTTGCCATTAATGAGTGCTATTGGCATATCCTTGTTTTTGCTAGAGTCGTCTGACGTCATATCCGTCCTCGTTAGCAATTCACCATTTTTTTAACTACCATCCATTGCTACGGATCTTGGCAGACGATGTTGAGGTCGAGCTGAGTAGCCACTTCAGGTCAGTTTTGGCAACTCCACAAGCCGCTTCCAGATTTCCCTGCCCGATTGGACACTGTACGACTAACTGGTCTGTGGAATCCCCTCTCTATATCAATAGATTCGATTCAAAACTTACCGAAATTCTATTTCTACGACTTACCTTTTAGCTATCCTAGAGCTCCAACCCCAACTCGACCTGATTAGATACATGAAGAACAACCCCAGTCCAGCCTCAAAGCTGTGCATCAGGATCCAATAACGGAAGAATTCCATTCTCCCGTATGAAGACCTTGTTGATATGCCGATTCTTCTCTTCCTCGGTCTTGGGTCTCTTCCTTCCCTTCTTCATCCTCTTTTTGAACGAGTCCTCAGAATCGCTGCCTAACGGAATGTACGGCCAGATCTCCTCCGACGGGAGACGTTGGGCCTCAGAGTCTTCGGTGAGGTACTCGCGCTTGGACCCTCCTCCATCGCTCGAGCCACCGTGTTTAGAAGAAGGGGCCTCAGTGACTTGTTTCTGTTGAATCTCATAGTTGAGCTTCAGAAGCTGTTCCTCAATTAGATCCATGATAGCTCGGGCTTCTTCGTGTCGCTGGAGCAAGATGTCGATTATGCGAGGCATCTTGGCCTCAGGATTGGTGGGCTTAACGAACTCCATCTCTTCTGTGGAAATACTAACACCGTTTGCCCAATCCTCAATCGTCTCCGCAAGCTTGTGAGCGTTGTAGTAGTGTTCGACAACGTCTTGGGACATGACAGACATTGTTATCCTTTTTCCTTTCTTTTTGTTATATAGTTGCAGAAACTTTGAGAGGAATGGATGTTTATGGAGGGCGGGATACTGACCATGAAACTTATGACAGGTTTATATACTTCATTCGTGCAATGCAGGCCTAAGAGAGTGAAACAACGAATGACCATTCAAATTATTTGCATGGCATTGAATAAAGCGACAACGGTGGTTGTTCTCTGATCTCACCGGCTTTTTCTTCGAACAACACATGTTCAAGGTTCACGGTTCAACTTGGCGGCTAAATGCCGTCCCGTAAATACAATCTAAAGCACAACTTAAAGTGAACAAGACTTAGAAATACCGTTCCTTTCGTCAAAGCATTAGAACAAATAGGTCAAGATTGAATGGTGAGTCCCGTTCAATGGAGCCTTTGTCGATCAGGGATCTGGTTTGTGCTACGAGCGATATTGAACATCAGCACTAGCTTGGGTGAGATGGCCGAGTTGGTTATGGCGCCAGGTTAAGGTTAACCTTAACACTAATTTCCTGGTGGAGCAATCCTCCTGGGTTCGAGTCCCAGTCTCATCATAGAATTCTCTTTTTGCAGTTATCCCTTGACAAGTACTGCATATTCTTATTCCTCTTATTCTTCTTATTTCAAATCAAACCCTATAGTTTTCACTAAGGGCCAGGCGTGCCGGGAACAGCCGACACGGCGAGGAACGAGATGATCATGCTGGGGGGAATCATTGTCTATAATTTTTACTCTAAATGCAATAAAATCTGAACGCTATTTCTACCACATAATCCATGTAATAACTCCTGTGAAAACAATCAAAGACGAACTGAAAGCATTGTGTAATCCAAAACGCGTCGCTAAAGAAACAGGTCTTGTCGAAGGTGTCGGTGCAGAAGAGCTCGCGATGCTGAGGAAGGTCTTCTGGTTCGGAGTGGCGGCGTATGCATCAGTGTTGTAAGTCGAGTTCAAAGAGATTTGTCCAACGACCTCATCCGACTCGAGGCGAATATGCGAATCGATTTCAAGATTCTCAAGGCCCTCTTGTGTGACGACGATTTGGCGACCGCCTCGGATCCAGTCTCCGTAGCCACCGTAGCCAGTATGTTGACCGTAGCAGAGATTGATGCCGTTGCCAGCAAGATCCATATCGCCAACCTTGTCTTCCCACTTGTAACACCATGAGTTCGCGTGATCGTGGCCGGAAAAGAGGCCAATGACGCCAGGTGTCGCAACTAGAGCTTGCATCAAGGGCAGATCTTGGTCGCTGTAATCACAACCTCCCTTCTTGTCTGCGCACCACCCCGCACCTTGCTGAATGACTGTTTCGTCATTGATACCAGGATGATAGTTCTCATCAACGCCGTTGTTCTGCAGCATCAGAGAAGCGTACACGGGAATGTGAACAAAGGCTAACGAAGGAATGTTCTTGCCGTGTTCCTCGCGCAAATCAGCATTGGTCTCGTTGAACCATTCCACGACACTCTTATCAACCCAATTAGGCTGAGCACCGCCCTGGTAGTAAAAGCCACCTCGGGAATCGAAGAACCAGAGTATCAGCTCGGGTGTGCAGTTTGAACTGCAGTTCGATGCGTATACGGGGAGGTAGTAATTCGTTGTTCCAGCATCCTTTCCTGGAACCATCGAGTCTGTTCGAGATCCAGGCCATGTATGCTCGCGCTCCAACATGGCGGTTCCATTGAGGTTGCGATTGTGATCATGGTTTCCGTATGTTGAAGCCCATGTCATGTTTCGATCTACCATCGGAGAGACAATTTGATCGATGTACACGGTGCTGTTGTGGATGAATGTTGATTCGCCGTTAATCAGGTCGCCGTTTAGGACTACCAAGTCTGGCAGCTCGGCATCAATCACGTCGCCCATGACCTTGACGGTCCTAGCATCTTTCTCGGGGCCTATTGACGAGGCATCTGGATCTTGGTCAGTGACTTTGTGTCAGTTGTTGTAGCTTCAATACCGTACCTTCAGCGAAATGGAGATCTGAAAAGACTGATATTTGGAATGTTCCGTCGCTCTTGAACTTCAATGGGTCAAGGTTGCTGTTATTAACCTGATCGCGCTGAGCGGCGGCTCGTAGCGATTGGCCGGCGAGGAAACTTGTGAGAGCAAGTGATCGAAGCATCACGGAATATGTAGTGATTCGTGAAAGAAGAAACAGTACCTCGAAATAGGTCGGGTAGTCAGGGGAAGGGTATAGTGCCTACGTCAAAGGCTTGAGAGTGTACAACCGTCAAACCTCGGAGAAGGGCGGGAGACATGATGGGTTTTGATAGTTGCAGCAAACACCAAGAAAAAAAGATATCAAGCGACTATGACGCGTTGAGGTGCTTGGCCAAGCCATGATGCCAAGCCATGATGGGGATGCCATGCTCGCGTGTTGTACTACTCGACTCGGCGTCCGAAGCAATGAATTACGCGGTCACTCATCGATGATTCGTCTCCCAAGCCTCTCATAAGCAACTGTTGGCCTCGGAAACCCAAACCTTAACTTTAGATCCCTTGGCGTGGCTTGGGCATGAGCTTCGGCCAATAAGTGCCCTGCAAGGACGACATGGTCAGTTCTTGGCAGGCTCGGTAAGTAATGCCAATTGATTTGCCGACCTATTTCTACGGGGTTATGAAACCGCTGACTCGCTAAATCCGACCCTGATACTCTACGGATTTTAGCTGCTTGATCACTGTTATTCCGTAAACTGGGGTCGTTTCATGGGAGTATGAGGATTTGCATCGGCTGCGACCGACGTGGTTTTGTTGGTGTTGCCTTTGGGTTTTAGTTTTAGTAAGGCTTCGGGGGGACCTGAGCGGACTGACCGGATTTAGGGCACTTAGGTACTGTACAGTACCGTACCTTAGCAGTCCCGATTCAAAGATCTAGCGCGTCACGCCCAAATCTGAGTCAGTCTCAGCACAAACATCCATGACATCAACTGCCAAGACTCTGCCCTCACTAGCAATTAAGTCGGCAATTGATGAGGCTATGCGAGCCGCGTCACTCTATCAGCAGGCTACATATGATTTCCAAGCAATTACTCCATTGACCAGAACCGATTGGGATAAACGTTTACGCACTGACTGAAAAAACAAAAGGGCGGGGTTATGGTTATTGTAATCATGGCTACTCTCCCACTCTCCCACTCTCCTCCCACTCGGCCACTGTCGATCGATCATCAAAGAGATGGGGTAGAACCCATGCCAAGAGCTGCCCAGAAGCAGGGAATCGCTTCGCCCCGAGGTGAATGCGCGTATATCGCGCTGAAGAGTTTTTCAATCCGCAAAAGGTCATACGATAGCCTCAATTGATCCCTATCATATACGGATAGAGCTCGAGCGATAATGTCGTCGTAAATTGTTTGGCCCCATACGAGATTACTTATGCAGCCTGCTGATAACTAGATCCACCATCTTCGGCCCTACCCGGTGTTACAAACCTATCATAATGAGATCCCTCCCCTTGACGGTCCTGAATAATCAATCTCGACAACGGAATCAAATAACATCCGGTATTTGCAACAAAAGTATACGGTCTTGCCGTTGGGAACTCAAACTCTATGTGCGAATACCGCCTTACCATGCACTGACTTAAACCCCAGCCCCCCCGATTTTTAACCCCCCGATGCGGTATCGGCGACAACATGCAATAACCGCATCAGAATTACATGATATTGAGTAATTAAACCAGCAAAAGTCAGTCGCATTACAATCATTACTGTCATACATAATAATTAACTACAGAGAATCAACATCAATCTCCTCATTCTTCCTTTTTCTCTCCCTCGTCTTCATCCCCCTCGACGTCATACGGGAACAACCATCCGTTGTCCTCATCATACTCATCCACAAATGTCGTTCCATGAAGGTTCTCATACCTCTCCATGTCAAACTCATCATCACCAGCTTTTCCGTTGAGGATATTACCAATCTTGTTGGCGATATCGCGGCCTTCAGTGTATGCGCCGTGCAGGAACCCAAAGAACTCTGCACTGTTGGCTTCTCCCGCGAACCAGAGTCGCTCAACGTTGGCGCGCATGTTTTGATGCTTCTCAAGGGTCATGCCGACGGGCCAATTGCTATAGGAGCCATATGCCCAACTGCGTATCGTTAGTCCACAGATCATTCGACTGCGCGCGGGTCGTTCTAGACTTACGGTTCTGTGCTCCAGCGAGGGTAGGTAAATGCAGTTGGTGTCGTCACATTCTTATCGGGAAACATCAGTCTCAAGACATCGAGGATCTGTTCCATCGTCTCGTTGTTGGTCTGACGCTCCACGCGCCATGCCTGCTCTCCAGTGACAGTTCCGAAGAGAATGTTGGAACCCGGCGCAAAACCCTCGGGGTTAAGTGACTGGAAGAGAGGGTATCGGCCGCGCTCGAGAGGATCGGCATAGAGGAAGAATTGCGTTTCGTTATCCCAGAAAGCCTCTTCGAACTGCATAAAGATCTTTGTGTACGTGCCCATAGCAAACTGATCAATGGCACTTTGCTTCCAGTCGGGGAGAGGAGGGCTGAACTCGGTTGTGTTGCTCTGTAACACGCCCAGCGAAAAGGTGCAGATGGCGTAGTCAGCCTGGATACAATCGCCCTTGTCCGTTGTGATTGTCACGCCGTCCTTTCCGTATTTGATGCCTTCGACAGTTGTCTTAAGTCGGAGCCTTGCATCACCGTTCTTCAGGAACGTCTTGGCCTCCTCTTGTATGATGGTGCTGAAGCCACGCTGGTCAACGACGAGGTTGCTCACATCACTGAAGTAGCCGAATGTTGCATTACCACCAGCCACTCCAAAGATGAGGCCACTCTCGTCAGGTGTCCAAGCGGATTCGAAATCCCATTTCCACCAGTCTGCGGCTTGCGCGTGCATATCATCCTTGTCTGGACGCCATCCCGCTGAGCGAATAGCAGCACGTACAGAAGTATCTTGCAAGTTACCGAGCAGGAGACGACCAGATTCTGCTTCAGCCTTGCTGTAGATCTCTTCCAGGTCTTTGATCGTGCTGCTCCAGTTTGTCTGTCCTTTGTGGTCAAATGTCAAGTAGTTGTCGTAATCGGACTCGTGCGATTTCAAGTCATACTTCTTTGCCAATTGCCAGATGGGATTCTCATGTGTAGCTTCTGATCCGATGCCCTCAACCCAATTGGCGCCAAACTCGATAGTGTAAGGTTGCCCATTAGCTTTCTTGCCAAATGATTGTTTCCTCATTCGCCCGCCAATGTAGTCATTATGCTCTACAATGATGAACTGGTCGATGCCTGCTTTTGTCAAGTTTTGAGCTGCTGCTACGCCAGCAACACCAGCTCCGAGGATAGCGACCTTGGTCTTCGTGCAGGACCCTTGCTTCTCCCGTGGAAGGACGGCAGAGTGTGCTGTTGTCGATAGAGTTGTGAGAACAGCTGTAAGCTGTGTAATTGAATACCTCATCTTGTTGGTTTTGATCGATTGGTGGGATATAGGCAACCGTATGTTAATGGAAACATCAATAAATAACGAAGGAACAGGAACAAGGACGGGCACTTGGCCCTTTATGTTGCGCAGGCTAGTATGTTATCCTACTCCAAAGATAAACACCCCTCACCTGAACCGTTGAACGTTAATCAAGCGACCGCCATCCATGCCAACGGTAAGTTTCCTAGGCTACGATGCATGTCTTGGTTCAGCTTCTCACTAGCTCGGATCACCTAGCAACCCCAGACCAACTCACTCACAATTGCCTGTGTAGATCTGGGACCAGCTTCCTCAATAGGCAGCTGGAAACTGTCGAGTGATACGATTGATTGGCTCCTAAATCACAAGAGAGTTCAGCTGTGACCTGGACCTCAAGTCCTCCACGCCGTATGTACATGCTCTGCAGAGCCTCGGGAGGAGCGTCAAGGGGCCTGGGCTAGCGTGAACTAAAAATCCCGCAATTTTGCCAATTGCCAGCGACAGCCAATCCAGTAGTCTGTTGCAGAAGCTTGTTTTTATGTCTAATATCTCTGGTATCTCTCTGGAGAATTGATCGGCCTATTACTCCCTTGGTGATAATTTCATGTCAAACAGTTCTGGATATGTGGCTTGCTGAACCGATGAGCCCACTTGGTTCTGCGACATACTCATTTAAATGTGTCAGAGCGGTAAAGAGAACAATCTCATGTCAATTCTCTGCCTCGCATTCAATTTCCTTTCTCAGCTTTGACCTCTTATGCCTTCTTGATTGGGATTTGGCATGAAGCTATCGAGCGGTGACTCCGATAGTGTCCGTCGGAAGCTAAGGTCCGGGGTCTTGAATCAATGCGCATGAGAAGTATTGCCCCGAAACAGAATGGAACATGTGTGGACACGGCTCGGATTAATAGACCGGGCGTGTTACGGACTTCGATGTCTCATAACTGGGCATACGATTATCACATGATGCAATTCAGAATCAACCAGTTTTCCATGCAGCTCTGACACACTGGTAATGTTGCAAGACAATTTAGTTCAAGTCCCGATCAATATACGCTGGCTTCTTTGATGTTTAAGAGCAATTGACACTATGTTCTTGAAACCATTGCAATTCTTGTCATGGCTAATGCTATAAACCCAATACTCTCTCATAATAAGACATCAACTTCATTTCTCACCCTGCATCATCTTCATGAAGACCTAGGGATACTGTCAGTGACGTGGACAAGGATGAAGCAGGCAGGAACTAACATCAGGGTTGATCTCAACACCAGCATTTTGCATTTCAGTCGTCAACTACAATCCCAATCAGCACACAATTCAAGAGTCGGACTATATATATACCGTTGTCGCTGCATCACGAAACTCTTTATCCATCATGAGCTTCATGATGTCCATCTTACTCGGTGGCCCTGAAGTGGCAAGCCCTGCGCCAGATAATCAGCCGAGGTTGCAATTGATTCACCGAGTTTCTGTACCCTTGCTCTTGATAATGTCCCCCATCTTCTGCATGGCCTCGATGGCCGGAGGATGACGACTCAGCTTCTCAAAAGTCTCACGAATATGAGGGTCATTCATCATTGACTCGAGCTGCTGCATGTTGGGTGGCTGGTCGGCAGAGGCGAAGCGACGTGGCGTCACGTGGATCTGACGCGTCGCTACGCGCAGCATAGGGCGGGCGATGATTCGTCGAAGAGCAAACATGATGGGCTGTACTGGTGGTGTTGAAGATGGTCTAGAAATGAGATGAGTAGAGGCTGAAAATTGATATTGTTGACGTCAGGAATCGGCCAATGAACAGCGGGGTTTGCTGGCTTATCTTATCTTATCGCTATTTATCGCGCCGCTAACCTCCCCCTTCGCGTCCTCGAAATCGACACCGACGTCACAACCGTCATTCTTGTCAGACTTGTCAGACTTGTCAGAGATGCCTGAGAGAGAAATTGGTGGTTCAAACTCGCTATACTCAGCGAGCTGATGGTTCCTTGAAGTAAATATCTCGGTCTGACCAATTTCGCTTTGCTTCTGCTTAATATTCTTTGCGAAAGACTGGAAATACTGCACTGGTTGTATTTTGGGATCACTCGAGAGTTATTAAAATCTGATTCTATTGACATAATGATAGTGACTCTTGATTTCCTCAAGCAGCTAGTACATGCTAAGCTCGATACTCACGCAGATGCATGATATCCTCACCTGTCTCATCGATTTGTGTCTGTCCCCTCCATTTCATCCCTGTACCGTTCTTGACCAGGCGTCCTGGATTAACAATCAAAAACAAGGCCATGACCAGGAACATAAGTAAGGCGTCAAATAGGTATATGAAGACTTCGTGAGATATGACAAAACCCCCCTGTCCTTGAAGATACTCGACTGCACGGACAATGCTGCGAATGATCATGATGACCGTCACGGCCTCGATGGTTCTGAAGTATCGCCGCCACCGTACCAGGGACGAATCCAAGAACGGTCCAGTCTCTTGTCTTATACGTATGTACAGATACAGCGAAGTGAGAATAAAGATACTCAAGGCGCAGAGTTGAACTATCAGACCAGCAATAAGAATAGTTCGGCCTTTGGTGATGGCATCTGGTTCGCCAGAAGCAGGTATGATGGCGCCTATGAACTGGCTGACAATGCATGCGATGTCGATGAGGACGTAAAGCTTTGTCAACCATCGAAGACTTATAAAGGAAAGATGTTGGGAGTCAAGCGCCGTGGCAACACGTCGAAGACTCATGTAGATCGTCGCGGCTAGGAAAGGCGTTCCGGCGAGGAGAAGGACGTTCTGGAGGATAAATGGGCCTGCTTTATCGGGTGTATCGTGGGCTTGGGCTCGTCCGAAGTAACCAAAGATCTCACCTAGGTCCGTGTCAGGGGGCACCATCGTCAAGGTTATAGTTCTACTTACAGATGCCACCGAGGATGAAAGGGATGAAGAACCAGGCTCGAAGGATGAAGAGGAATACGAGGTGGGCTAAAGTAGCAATGCCGAAGAGAACAACGAAGGAGATGGCGGCAGGTTTGTTTGGCAGGTATTCGAAAAAGACGATCTGAGTCCCATTGACAACGGGTCCGTATGGTCCATCTCCGCTCATCTTCGGATACGAAAACTAAAAGAAGGGTAACGATGTGTATGTGAATAACGACGTCAAGAACGGGCAAAAGATTTTGCAGCGATAATTGAGGTCTTTTTGACAAAGGGAAGTCTTCGAGATGAGCAAGATTCTTCTGGGGGGACAGGGACATTTCGGCGTTCTTAAGGAGGTTCTGATGATAGTTTTCGTATTCGAATGCGAATATTGAGGGTCTAGCGGTGTTGACACCTTGACCAACCCACCTAAGATGACGCGGTCAGTGGAACTGGCTCGGATTGAGCGCCATTGACATTCATTGAAACGAGTCAAATTTTGATTAGATCCCCGCTCAATTATTTCAAATACATTTACGTTCCATGTCATCACTTTCTGAGAGATCCTGGATAAGGCTCAAATCGCGTTGGAGTTGCCAGCAGTGGGGCTGGCGTGATAACTAAACACCACGCTGCTATAGAGCTGTGTCATCTACACTAACAAAAGGTAAAGGACTCGGCCAAAGTGCAAATTGGCAAAAGAGATTAATTGATTGATTTGAAGCCATCAACTTACTCGCCACTCAGTGAGATAGATGTTAGCGACTCGGTAAAAATAACACATTAGCTTTTTTGCCCTCCAGGCACAATAGACTCTATTGCCTCTAATCCAATATCAACTCTCAATAGATAATAAGCCATTTCATATATACTTTTATCATGCGTCAACCATTCCGTATGCTGATTAGTCTATGTGGCAAAAAAGAGATGCCTCGCACTAGCAATCGTTTTTATAGGAACAGCCCGATGCGGGGGTCGAACCCGCAACCTTGAGATCGCGTACTCGTAAGAGTCTCACGCTCTACCGATTGAGCTAACCGGGCGTGGCTCTGATTGGTTGCTTTTCGGATTCCCAACGAGACCTCAGTTGCGTTCCCCAGAGAGAAACGCCGACTCCAGGGTAGGGCATGGGCAATTAACTTGTTAGATCTCGTGTGTTGGTTGGGTTGGCTTCAGGCATTCCTGACCGGTCGGTCGTATTATTGAGGTAGACTTAGGCTAATACATGGAAAATAATTAATTTTTAATAACTCAGAAATTGTAATCCCTTGTTGCTCATTTCGTGGTGAAGTGAAGTGAAGTGAAGTGAGGTGGATCTCTCTGTTGCCAAGATAGAACGTATCAATTGGAAGAGTCAACAAAACATAACATCGCAAACACCGGAGCCAACCGACAGCAGCGCGAAACTAAAACTAGGTATTCATGACCATAACTCATTCTTTTAGCCTTTATTCATCAGCAAATTCGTAATCAGGGGAACTCTGGCCCTCGAAATGTACTGTTAGGGTCTGTAACATCTCGGAGCAAATGAGGCGGGCGGCGGATTGGGAACGGGGGAATGAGGCCCTGCTTCCTAGTGGCTCTTTTCATCTCAGGGTCCACCTTTTGAGACAGTTTCTCGATCCCACTGAAACGGAAAATGCCGTTGGTGATTGCTGTTATTGCTATCTAAGCATGGCCAAAAGGAAGACAAAAGGATGAGTATAAGCCCCTCGAGATTGAAAAGAAGAATGGCTTAAATGAAAGGGCGCTCAACACCAATATTTGACGAGAATTATTTCTTTCGGAGAAACTCTCGGTAATGTTGTTGACGCCATCGAGTGAGCCTCGCACGCGTTCAAGGGTCAGACCAACTGACGAACATGTCGACCTGATCAGCAGAGCCACCACTTCCCAAAGCACCACAATTGTGGCTTTAGTGATACTGCGGAGGCCAAAGCGCGCGAGTCAGGCTGGTTCCTCTATTGGAAGTCACCTGTTTCATGTCTCATTGCAAACTCTTGTCCTTGTCGACCCACCGAACTACGCGGGACATCGGCATAAGATTTAGCAGGCTTTGGAGTTTTCAGCCAATGCCATGTTGGAGAGATTAGACATAGCTTCCGAGAGATTGCACCATCGCCTATGCGTTGCATATATGGTTGAAAACCCACACTAGACCAGTATATGCCAGAGAATATATACCATTGCACCATTTAATCCTCAGCGCACGCTATATAACAATGGGTCTTGGAAAAATGCCCCAAACTACTTATACACCGAGCTTGGCACTCCGATAGGCCGTAGTGACCGAGTACCGATACATTCCGCATCTCGGGCCTCCCAATATGGCAGACAAGAAGTCGACCACCATCGACGACCCGATCATTCAGGCGTCTGACTCCGATTACGACTACGGTTCGACACAGAAGCGCGCCTACTTCACCGGCGACACATTTGTGTCTGGAGGAGCCACAGAGTTGTACAGGCCTATTCCAGAATATGAAGGCATCCATCGATATGACCCAACTGCCGAATGGACAGAAAAGGAGGAGAAGAAACTTGTCAGACGAGTAAGCTCATCCCCTGTGGGCGACTTGATGCCATACTGACATGCTTTGTGCCCTCCAGCTAGATAAGAGAATCTGCTCTTGGGTCTGCCTCATGTTCTTTGCGCTACAACTCGACCGTGGCAATATTTCACAGGCTCTGAGTGATGGTATGCTAGACGATCTTGGCCTCAACACCAACGACTACAACTACGGCATGATGATCTTTTACCTCTGCTTCTTGTCCGCAGAAGTGCCTTCACAAATGATCTCCAAGAAGCTCGGCCCTGACGTTTGGATCCCGATTCAGATGGTGACATGGAGTATCATCGGCATCTGCCAAGGCTTTGTCCAAGACAAGCAAAGCTTTTATGCAACTCGCGCTCTGCTGGGACTTATCGAGGGAGGGTTTATTCCCGATGCGCTGCTGTACCTCTCGTACTTTTATACTAACAAAGAGCTTCCGATGCGAGTCGGCTTCTTCTACTGCGCTTCCAACGGTACTTTCATCGTCGCTGCATTCCTGGCATATGGAATCCTTCATATGCGCTCTGTCGGGGGCTGGGAAGGCTGGCGTTGGCTGTTTGTTCTCGAGGGTACCCTGACATTCCTTATCGGCGTGGTGTCTTGGTTCTACCTACCTCCTGGCCCAACACAAACAGCTAGTTGGTTCCGCGGCAAAGACGGTTGGTTTACGGAAAGAGAAGAAGTCATCATGGTCAACCGTGTCTTGCGCGACGATCCAGGCAAAGTGAGTGATGTCCACACCTTTGCCCACTGTAGCAACACTAAAATGAAGGTGCAGGGAGGCATGCATAACCGTCAAGGTCTTACGCTCAAGCTTCTCTGGGATGCACTCATGGACTATGACCTCTGGCCACTATACATGATCAGTTGGACCATGCTGATTCCCACCAATCCCGTCACTGCCTATCTTACTCTCAACCTCAAGGCCTTAGGATTCGGTACATTCGAGACGAATCTGTTGACCATTCCTGGATATGTGCTTTTCCTGGCACACTTGCTCCTTATCTCGTGGTACTCGGAGAAGATCAACAACCGAATGGCCATTTTGCTGTACTATTCCTTCTGGTGTTTTGTGTTGCTCTTGACTCTCGAGCTGCTTCCCGCAAACGCTAGCCCTTGGGCGTGGTATTCAGCAACAATCTTGATGATTGGCTTCCCCTACATTCACTCAATCAACGGTGTGTACAAGACATTTCTTTAGTTCTGTTCTTTTTGCTGATCATCCTGCAGTCAGTTTGACATCACGAAACGCTGGTTCTGTTCGCACCAGAACAGTGGGCAGTGCCATGTACAACATGATATGCCAGGCCAGCTCTGTAATATCATCTCAGGTTAGTCTAATACGCATTCATCTCTATCAGGATGACTGCTCACAGTACGTACAGATCTATCGAGATGATGACAAGCCTTTGTACCGACGTGGAAACAAGGTTCTTCTTGCACTCGTCGGCTGGAATGTGGTGATGACTGTTTTCATCAAGGGATACTACATATGGCGAAACAAGACTCGAGAACGGATTTGGGGTGCCATGTCAGATGAAGAGAAAGATGAGTATCTAAGAACGACCAACGATGAAGGGAACAAGAGGCTGGACTTCAGGTTTGCCCATTAGTTTAAGATGATACCAGCATATAATACGGCCAGAACGACAGTTCTGGAGTGCGAAACGTGAGATTCCGAAAACATCAACAGAGCAATGCTAGCATCCGCCAGCCTTTGGGAAGGCTGTGAGACTGGACATAATACAACCAAAGAAGCATCTCCGTAAGTATTGCTTTGTACAAATCATGGTCCTGGAACACGAGGATTGGGTAAAGAACACAAAAGGGCCATCATGGCCAATGGCCACACAGCAGAATAGTCGCCAGACCGACATTTGCTCATAATTTTGAACAAAAACATGCGTGTCTGGGTGCTTTGTCCCAAAGGCATCAGATTGCATGCTCTCACCCTTGTTCAAAGGCCATAGGCTAAGAAACAATGCCTTACTATTATTTCAAAGACTCCATTTTATCAGTGATCAGAGAAACACAAAGAAATCGGCTACGCAATCTATGTACGACATCCGAATACCTGACACAGAACCGGAGCAGCTACATAATATAAAAAGGAAACAGATTTGCCCGCTGATTCTTCATTTCTTTTTACCAGCCTCAGTTTCCCAACACTACCATTTCCAGCTTCAATCAGATAATCACTCTGTGAACCTCAAAAACGTTCTTCCAGATTCAAACATCGAAATGGAGTCTATCTGGAACAAGTTTAACAATGATAGAGCGACCGTCATTGAAGATGCGTTCTCGATCGCAACGAACCGCGGCCAACTAGAGTGGTCAAATGCTGACATGGACGTCATGCATCAAGCGGCTGATGCCATTGTGTTCTCTCTTAGAGGAGATGAGGGCTTGTTATTCGTGGAATTTGAGATCCTGGCTGCATATGCTGCTCGCCTCGACCCGGGAACTCAGCTCGCTTTTCTTGACAACCTGGCCGCTATTATTCGGGCTTCGCGTGTCGGTGAGTCTTTGTCTGAGTATGATGAACGATTCCTAAATTTTGTTGTGGGCATCCACAACGGACTTGCCGTTGCTCGTGGAACAAACCTCGGACTGTATGTCCCCCCAGGTTTGGCAGATGCTAACATTGCCCAGCATGTTATTGGTCAGGCCCCAGCCCCCGTTGACTTGATTCAGATCCCAAGTGGCGAAACTACCCGTACTTGGAAGTCTGAATTTCAAGAGGTCAGCGGAGCAGGTAAGTACACCAGTTCAGTCGTTGAGACTGTAACTGGTGATGCATTCATGTCTGGAGGTGCTTACAGAACGACATCAACGACCTCGAGTTCTTTCACCCCATCAATCACTCCTATGCTGGGGATACGTGAGGCTTCGGTTAATATCCAACAGTCGATCGAAGACTCTCCAGCGTCGACTCCTGAAACTGGGTTTGGTGGTTATTGACGCTTCTACAGCACCATAGAAGGCATGTCGGGCCTGAAGCCTGAATTGCATACCTCTGCCCCTTTCTCTGTCGATACTTGAGAAGGAATTTATTTGGGTGCTAGTTTATAAGAAGAGTTCAAGTATCGGATGGCTTGAGTTTGAGAATACGATTGTAGAAATAGGTAGATAACAAGGTAGGTTTGGATGTACGACTTGATTTTGCTTTTTATAGAACTACAAGAAGCCTTGAAAATCAGATAAATATTTATTTTGTTGACTTAATCCTCATGTAAACCTGGACTTTGTCATTCGTGACTTGCGTGGCAGCTGCTCGGGCGTTCGATGGGCTTGGTGACCCAGACAAGACCCGATATTTCCTCACAACACTGCACCGTGCCGAGCAGTCTAGAACCTGAACTATTTATTACTGTAACAACGAAAGATTTGTATTTGAAAGCAAAGATGTGACTTCCGCTGTGCGTCTGGAATTGTTAGTGGCGTCGTTTCAGTAACCGAAAACAGCCAAATCAAAATCATCATGTCCAACGGGACAGGTCTGCAATTGGCTAGCATCGATTTCAATTGTGCCACTCGACTTATAACTCTCTCAAGCGGTTAGCTGCATCCAATCGAAGATTGCCGATAGCATAAGACGCAAACGGCATGAATGAGAACCATGTCTCGGATGCTAGTAGCTGAGAAACAGAACAAATCAATGCCACAAAGCAGTTCGGTATCCTCCACTCGACCAGATGCGACCAATTGAGTAACATTGACATGAATTGAACATAAGTACAGATCTCCTCAAGATCTACTTTCCGCACATTCCACCACCCCTCTCCACTGCCACTCGCTTTCCTCTCTTAAGTCCAATTTCATGACATAATGAAGTCCACTGTCGCTTTCTTTGCTGTCCTTGCCGGCTTGGCTTCTGCGCGCCTGTACAAGCGCGATGAGTGCGCAACTGCATGCACTGATGCGTATAACTCATGCCGAGTTGAGCCGAATGCCAGTCAAGCATTTTGTGCGGAGGACTACGAAAGATGTCTGGGATTCAATCCATTCCTGGGCTCAAACTCAATCACAGCCCCGACAGCATGTTCCAGAGGCGCTACAGGGGCCTCAAACACGGCAGCTGTCGAGTCGACCGCTGTTATCAACACGCTCTCAAGAGCTTCCAGCTCTTCAGCACCCGCGTATGGCGGTAGTTCATCTTCTCCTATTGGTATTGACACCACGACTCCTGCTGTTAGTACAGACACCAGTATACCTGAAACATACGACTGTGTTACTGAGTGTAACGACGACTATAATACCTGTCGTACCGCACCAGACGCCAATATGGCCAGCTGTGCTGCACAGTACGCCCAATGTCTCGGGTACAACCCTTTTAATGGAGGGGGATCACTGGTTACTCCGACTGCTTGCTCTGTCCCTGCTTCTGTCACCACTCAAGTTACTCAGTCGAGCTCAATCTCACAGCAATCACTGATGGCTTCAAGTTTTGAAACCTCTCAACCTGATCCAACACCTGGCCTGGCGACATCGCATTAACAACCAATAGCCACTTGCAATGCTGGTGCATGTATGGGTGGTACTACAACTGTTAGTGGGATTGCAGGGACGGCGACAGAGCCCCCAGTAATTGTTGACGCGGCTGGGAGCCTTAAGCCTTGGACAGGCCTTGTGGCTTTGGCAATTGCTGTTGCACTTTAGGGCTTAGCTGACAGAACTACCCGATATAGACTTCGGTCTTGTATTTGCCTTGCTACAGCGTAAGGCTGATAGGAGCAAAGCCTAGAACATGACTCTTGTACCCCCCTCAGGCGTGAGGAGATGCTTCCCAATACAAAACCTACATGTACACAACTCTTCGTTTCTGTCGCCAGCAGCGGCTGTTCTGCGCTATCAATTGTTTTCATGTGTCTTATCAAACCTTCATGTCCCAAAACTATCGCGGTCGAGCTCACTTCGGTTTCTAAATTTGGTTCAGAATCGCATCGAATTCCTCAAGGGAAAGCCTCTTGATGGGGGGCGACAAGACCTTCGTGATGGTATATTCCACATAGTAACACTCATCCGCTGTCCACGAATGCTCTTCAATCTTTCATGGCCATCCAGGAAGAAGAAAAGTTCTCTCGGAATCACTAGACTTGCCGTCTGTTTCTTTCTTTCTGGGTTGTTCATGTTGAAAAGCTGCAAACTCAAAGTCCGCTCTTTGGGACAGTGAGTTGTGCAGGAGGATGATGCTTCCTCTATTAGTGTCTACTTGTCCTATGAGCGCGCTTTGTCTGTCATGCCAGCTTTCGAAATCGTTGTAGGATTCGATTTGGAGAAGCTCATCTTGTCGTTATCTCGTTCTGGCTGGTCGTATCTATACTGTTCCGTACCTGGGAGGCTTTGGTCATGCTTCGCAGCTCGGGGAACTACTCAAACCATTGTGCCTTTGACTCAAGCTTACGAGCATTGGTATGAGAGACCGTTCCACTTGTTTGCGAGGGGCTGTCACTTGGTTGATGCTGGTCGCGGAATAAAAACATATGTTTTGGTATTCGGACCACTGGCAATTTCGAGACGACACCACTTAGTGAATCACCGCTACCGTGAGATTAAACGGACAATTAGTTGGTACCATTGTTCATGATGTGTTATCGGCTGAACATACAGGCAAGTCAGGTTCACGGCTTGCAAATCTCATTAATCAGCTGGTGGAGACAAACAGCGGAAGACTAACCGTAAGGAGCAGCATGTCATCAGCAGTCGTTCTCTAAGCAGGCCTCACCATCCGCAAACAACCATGCGCTTACCATAGCAGAGAATCAGCAAAACCCCCCCCATGGAACCAGCGACGAGCCGCATAGGATTGAATCGATACGAGGTGAAAGCCTGCAAGGCCTGTCAATCCTCCAAGAGGAAGTGCACCAAGCAGCAGCCCAAATGCCGCCGTTGTGACCTTCGCGGCTTGGACTGTCTCTATGAGCCTTTACCCAATACTTTTGTCTACCAAGCTACACAGAACTGCGGGGGGCAAGCTTCCCCGTTGGCAGCCTTGCCAGAGGCGCAGTTGTTGCAGTCAGGCCAAGACGACGGCGGTTGGCCTGAGCTGGTAGACATAGGAGTGGACAGTCAGATGAACCATCATAACACTCCGGGTACTATCTCTTTAGATGACCTGAAAGTGGCTTGGTTCCTTGATCCGGAATCTTGGAAGGTAGTTCCAATTCGAGAGTCAAATAGGGCGCATCTAACGACGGACATGATCCGGGGGCTTCTATACCAAACTAGAGACTGGCTGGACGATTGGACAAAAAGCGGAAGTAATGTCTTCGTGCATCATGAGCTTTACAGAAATAGTCTCCCCAACTGCATCAGCGATGCTTTCACAACACTGTCCTCATATTTGTCAAGGACACCGGAGACCAGTGAGATGGTGCTCCGGATTGCAGAGCTGAAGGCCGAGAGGTTATTGGTGTCTGAGGGCGACAAAAACACAGCTGGGGATATTCTGAAAAGCCTAAGTCGTGTGCAAGCACTCCTGGTTTATTGCACGATTCGACTGCTGGACGGTGATCTCCGCCAACGTCACAAAGCGGAGCAGCATCTTCAGACCCTAGAGGATTGGACAAAAGAAATGATGAATAAAGCTCTCGAGGCCACAAACAACGGAGATATGATTATCAAGAACCATCTCACGGATGTAAGCCCTCAATATTTCACCTTACCGCTGCTCCTGGGCCAGTTCTCGCCTGAGCAGCTCCTCTGGCATTCGTGGGTACTGTCAGAGTCTGTTCGAAGGACATGGTGTGTATCCATGGGCCTTCAATCAGGCTATGAGCTGCTGAAGACTGAATGTGGTCCCTGTTACGGGACCTTACCCATCACTACGAGAAAGGGGCTTTGGGAAGCGACGTCGGCGTTCACTTGGACAAAGATGTGTGCGGACAGCAACATAGGCTTTATGTGCAGGAATGATCATGAAAAGGTCATGGCGGATATGGGACCCGGAGATATTGACGACTTTGCGTTATGTATGATGGAACTCGATATTGGTCCCGACAGGATGGCAAGATGGAAATCTGAACGTTCAGGGTAAGATGAGAAGGGTCACGGAATTTCGGACCAGCCCTCGACAAATCTTAATCACTAGGTAGGGTAAGGGAGGAGATCCGTGTGATGTAAGTTTAGTGGATTGTTCCGCTCTTGCTTGCGGGTTGCTTTATTATCACGCCCCGCAGATCCGCAACTCTCCGCTGGCTGAGTCAACAGTAGAAAAGGAATGCATCTATCAGCAATCAAATATTTAAACATAAGAACATCTGTCGAACTTCACCACATACTTCATCATCCTAATAACAACATCTCAACTCCTCATATCCCGAACCTCAGAACAGCCCATCCCATGATGGCAAGGCAGTGGATTCTCAACGACCAGCAGGGCTTTGAGACGTCACTCAAGTATGAGACCAAAGTGCCCATTCCGCCTCAAGATGAGCTCGGTCCAAATGATGTTTTAGTCAAACTCCAAGCGGCCAGTCTTAACTATCGAGACCTTGTCATTGCTGCATCCGCCGTACGTATCTAGATAGCGAAAGTCGTCGACGTCGACATCTACTGACAAAGTTTAGCAATTCGGTCCCATAACTCCACCAATGATACCTCTATGTGACGGAGCAGGATCAGTCGAAGCTGTTGGTTCCGCCGTTAAAGACTACAAACTTGGCGACCGAGTCATCACTTTCCCTGCACCAGACGTGGTGATGGAGAGAGGCAACGATGCTGATGTTAGCATGTCAGATGTACCGACCATGCTCGGCCTGGGGACCAGAGGAACGCTTCGTACCCATGGAGTTTTCTCGGAAAGTGCCCTTGTTCATGCGCCGCAGTCTCTCGATTGGCTTCAGGCTGCCACTCTCCCCGTCACCTGGATCACAGCGTGGAATGCTCTCTCTAAGCTAGGCAGAGACAAAATTGGACCACAAACCTGGATCCTGGTTCAGGGAACTGGAGGCGTCAGTGTGGCGACCCTGCAACTCGCATCGTCCTTTGGGCTCACTGTCGTGGCGACTACTTCATCTCAGGAGAAGGCGGAGAAGTTGAAAAAGCTTGGTGCAACTCACGTTGTCAACTACCGCGAGAATGCTACTTCCTGGGGCAAAGAGGCCCGATCTTTGACACCTAACGGAGTAGGTTTCGATATGATCGTAGATATCGGCGGTGATGAGACACTCAAGCAGTCACTCGAAGCAGTGCGTCCTTATGGGTCTATCCAAGTCGTTGGCGCTGTTGCGCAAAACACCGAACCTGTTTCCATGATGGGGGCTCTCATGTTCACGTGCACTATTCGTGGGTTCCTTATGGGTAGCCATAATCAGTACAAGGATCTTGTGCGATACATTGATGAGAAGAAGCTCAAACCTGCATATGATGACAATGTCTTTGAGCTGATAGATGCCAAGGAGGCTTATAGGAAGCTGAAGGAGCAGAAGCACTTTGTCAAGGTCGTCATCCGCATCGATCATGACTAGATCTGATGCCTGCGAGAAGGAGTTGGATGGAACTTTCAGATAATCAGGTTCGGGAATGCTTTGGAATTACAATTATTTATCTAGAATTACGTCTATCATTATTGAATCATATAAGAATTGTCTTTCTAAAACGGGGGTCATTGTCGAGATGTAAGAAGGATTAGGATAGGCGTTGTCTCTTCTGCAAGTAGTCATTTGATGGTAATTGCCTCATGTCTTAGTCTTCGAAGCGCTGACTGCCACGGCCTTGACTCTTGAGGTCAATCTCCTCAAGAAACACTGACGTCAGCAGTCCCAAAGCACTCAATCCTGTCATTGTGTAGAAGATTGTGCGGAAACATTAGAGGTAGACTCTTAATAGCTCATCAAGTGTTCCTTGAGAAATTTTCAAAGACCCGAGTTCTTTGATGAAGGCAACGGCTTTTGAAGCGTCCTCTAAAGGTGCCAGAGGCCCTGTAAGTTGCAGCGAGCTAGAGGTGATAGACTTTGCAAAGACAGTGTTGAATATTGCAGAGGCGATGGTCAAACCGATCAAACCTCCAAACATACGAATCGTGGAGAATTGCCCGATTGCAACGCCTGTGTCGTCGACGTTTTTGACGCTGGCTTGCATCGGTAGAAGATTGAGTCGAAGAAGAGCAACGCCTGTTCCCCATATCACAGGAAGTCCATAGAGCATCGATGAAGGCGAACTGAGATTGAGGATTGCCAGGATTCCGGTACCCAGAGCCAACAAGGCCCACGAGAGCCTCAGTAGCCAGGTATAGCCTCCAAACAATGGCACCATCATCATAGAGATTACTGCGATGAACACGCTAATGATGGAGGTTGGCAGCAGGAAGACAGCTGACTTGATTGGCGTTTCCAGATACACAGCTTGATAAATCAGAGGCAGATACTGAAGTAACGAAACAAGGATGGCTCCATGAATGAACCCTCCAAGCAATGTCATGTTGGCAGTGATGGAGTGGAACAGCCGATGAGGCATGATTGGTGCTGCAGGCTTCGCTTCGTAAAAGACGAAAGCGACAAGCACCAAGAACCCCAGAATCATTGGAACCAAGGTCTCCCATGCGGCCCATGGAAACAAGGAGCCAGCCCAACTTAGCGGCAACACAAAGACTGTGATGCCAGAGACAACAAGACCCATTCCAATCCAGTCAAGGCGTTCGATGTTGCTGGCAAGCGATGCGTCCATCGTGACAGGCCGTAACTTGAGAAAGAAGTACACCAAGGGGGTTCCAATCCCAAGAATGGGGAGATTGATCCATCCGATCCATCGCCAAGTGACGTACGTAGAGAATAAAGCTCCCACAGATGGTCCAAGAATATTGCCCACTGCATTTGGGATCCCCATTAAGCCCAGATATTTTGATCGTTCCTCGAGTGTTGTCATGTCGCCGAGGATGACTTGAATAAGAACATCGATGCCACCGCCGCCAAAACCCTGGAGTACACGGCCCACGATTATGGTCTTCATGTTCTGAGCAACAGCAAAGGTAATTGACCCAATAAAGAATAGTCCAATGCAGACGTAGAGCGGTGGTTTTCGGCCGAATGCGTCTGATATGCTTGCCCACAGCGGTTGCATCACAAGGCCGCATAGTGTATAGGATAGATTGGCCCAGAAGGATTCTAGACTCGAGCCTCTGAGGTCATTGGCTATTGTCTGGTGCCAATATCAGTACAAAAGCGACGATGAGAGGAGTACGAAAGATGAAGGTGATCTTACCGGTAATGCAATGCCAAGTGCTGTTGCATCTATTTGGAATACGAACAGTGTAGCAGACAAACCTACGAAAGCCAATTTGAAGGCCACGGACTTTTTCTGCTTCGGCTGCCTGCCTTGATCAACTTGCAACGCTTCCGCATGTTTCGACGATGAATTCTCCTTGGCTTTTTTTACTGTCTCAAGTTCAATCTCATGACTTTGCGGCGCTGGAGATGCAGATATCTCTTGGCTGCTTGTTCTGACGCCTGATTGTTCCATGTTGAGCATTTTGCTGAATTCAACGAGCCATGGCCATTGTTTCTATGGCAGAGACAAAACTGTGACCAATTCGATTGCAAGAAGTGTCACGTGTTGTGATGAGGCCTCCTTGAATCACTGCAAGAGGTTTAGCTGAGATTCGGAAGGATCAAAGGATCCATAATATCCGGCTAAAACGGAATGAAGCAACTGATAAGATATAATCTTTCGAGCACGATAGGATAGGTAATCTTACACTGGTTCCAGCATACGCTGAGACCAATCGCACTGTGATATTGTGAGACTTTTGTTTTCTTAGTATATCCATCTTCTGTATATCGCCTATGGAATTAGCGGACTTCTCGGGGTCTCGGGCGCTAGCAAATGGCAGGGTGAGACAGGCAAGCCCCCTAGTGGCTTCGCTTGCTAGTGCTTACGGCTCATTTCCTACAGTTCCACCGAGCGTCCAAGTCGGGGAACAATGAAACACCGAACAATGTCCTCGCGAGATGCACTGGCTGTTCCGAAGAGGACGAGAAGTAGTGGTCCAAGGAGGCGAACAGGGTGCCAAACATGCCGGTCAGTATACTTCACATTTCCTGATACCAATGGTCTTTACATTCGAGAAGGAAATGGGAGACAAGTAACTAACATCCCAGCAGCAAAAGAAGGATAAAGTGTGATGAGAGTAAGCCGAGTTGCGCGAAATGTCTTCGGTCTGGATGGATATGTGACTTCGGTGCTGCATCGGCCTCTTCAGAGAGTGAATACAGCCCAGCTATGACATCAGGATCATCAGCTCTCTTGCCCATCGCCAGCTACTCCATCCCATTCAAGATTCCCGGAAGCCAGAAGGACCGGAGACTGCTCCACTACTTCTGTGTCCAAGGATCAGGGGATATCTCGGGGTTTCTGGCATCGGACTTCTGGTCTCAGACTGTGCTCCAGGCTGGACACAAAGATCTAGTGGTGCGGCAGGCCCTGGTTGCAATGAGCTCACTCCACCTAGACTACATATCTTCAAGTCCTGACAGAGCATCGGTAGCCAGTCCCGAAACCTTGAGTCTATACGGTAAAGCTCTACGATCACTGGGAAAGCGGATAGGCCAACCATCAGATGGCACTACAAAGACTGCTTTGGTCTGTTGCATTTTGTTCTATTGCTGCGAAAGCGCCATCGGCGACCGCAGTGCAGCACTCCAACATCTCAGCAACGGCCTCAAGCTGCTGGTGTCTACTCAAGGTGAAAAGGTTACCGATGAGTCCAAGGGCATCGAGAGATTGACCACCATTTTCGAGCGCCTGGACATGCAAGCCAGTTTCTTCGAAGACGACCGCATACCAATCCTTGCTTCGCCAGAGTACATATATGAAGAGCCAGATCATGGTTTGTTGACGCCACGGACAGGCTTCTTAGGGCTGGAAGATGCTCAGCAACGACTAGTTAAACTTCAAGCATGGTTGTATCATTTTGTCAACAAGAACGTCGAATTCTATCAGGAAACGAAAGAGTCGCTGAGCTTGGACATATTGGAAGAGAGGTCTTCTTTGGAACAGGCTTACAATGCCTGGATCGAAGGCATTAACGAATTCGAGAACAAAGATCAACACGATAACCAAACTTTGCACGGTATTCGAACACTTCTGGTTCACTTCCACGTCTGCCAGATGATATTACGATCAAAGTTCCCTCAAGATCACGGCGTGTTTGGTGCTTCGCCGAATCCAACCGCTCATCACATACTTGATCTGGCTGAGACTTTACTCAAGCATACTATACAGGCTAACGCCTCTCCCAGTGCTACTAAGACTCCGCGGCGCAATTTCTCCCTGGAAACTGGAATTGTAGCTCCATTGTTCGCACTGGCAATCAAGTGCTCAGACGATTCGGTGGCTACAAGAGCTGCTCAGATGCTTGCCGCCTCACACAGAAGGGAGGGTTTGTACGATGCTCAGACCATGTCACGTATCATTAATGAGCTGAAAAGGTCACGAGATAGTGCTATGCAGATCAAGGAGGAGAATAGAAGTGGGATCAAAGCTGTGACTCCACTGGAATATCATATACCTGAGCGGTATGACGGCGGTGGGATAGACAAGCTTCTTTGGTCTATGAGTCTCTGAGACCTTTCACTCGAGGGGCCTCTGAAATTACGGAAAAGCAGAGTTGTATGCTAGCTAATGAAATTTGCTGGTGATTTTACACCGTTTCCTTGTCCTATTTGTTGGGCAGTAACCACAGTTGGGTTCCTTGCTGTACGGCGTAGCTGGATGGTCGTAAGCCCTAGTACGGAACGAGCGTATTCCGTTCACTCATGAGGCAGAAATAAGTTCTTGTCTCATATGGAAGCATGAATTTACAATTGCTCCTCACTCGTATATTAATGATGTTGATTCGCTCCTGGGCTGTGCATGGTCCAATAAGTATGGTCGTTGAGGACCAAGGCTGACTGAAAAGGCAAACAGCTCTAGAGTCACCCAACGACCGGTATCAGCCCAAGTGCGGGGAAAGCCTGAATGCTTCGGCTTGTGACTTCTGCACAGCCTAGCAATGTCACATAATAAATAAATCGTGGGCCCAATATGTGTCGCTAGTTTCGCTTTCACTTGTACTTCATCTTAGACTCACTTGCAGATCGAATACTTCCAAGTTCATTTCACGTACCCTCAGACTTTATCATCAAACATCCCTCGTTGTTGAAATTAGCAGCAATGGCAGCTGACACGGATATCGGAGAGGATGGAGACGCAATTATCGACGCCTGTACATACCACAGGAGGGAATTCGACAGGGTCTTGGTACGGACGGATGAGCGAAAGATGAATGCACCATTTCTGCTGTCCACCCCGGAAAGCGTCTCATCGTCAGGCCTAGGTACCTTGAGTCGACTGCCCGAGGAGTTGACTCTCATGATACTTCGAGAACTTGACATGCTTTCATATCTGCGTTTTCGGCGCGTCAACAACCGTGCACGCAGCATAACGACAGCATCACGCGAGTATCAAACTGTGGTGAAGCATGGACTTCAGGGACTGAAACCACTGCTAAAGGTAGAGCTAGGTTATCTTTTCACCATTGCCCATTTCTACCAAACGCTCGTCAGCAATGAGTGCGAGCTTTGCGGAAAGTTTGCAACATTCCTGTATCTTCTTACCTGCCAGCGATGCTGCTTCACTTGCCTGCAAATCTCTGTCGACCTGCACGTTCTCCCCGTCCCGGTACCCAAAGTGTTCGCGAAGGCAGTGCACAGCTCAAGCAAGGAGATTGAAAAGATGTGTGGGCCTAAACTTCGAGTGGTCTACGGCAAATACTCTCTACAGCCGTGGCCTAGCGTCAAGAGACCCAGATACCTTGTACAGGCCAAGCCTGTTGTTGAGAAGCTCAGATCTCTTGACTCTTCTCGAAGAATCCCAAAGTCGATCCTCTCACATCAACCGCAAGATCAATCACACGACGAAATAAGACATGACTTTTGCTACCGGTATATGGCAGCTGCTGCGTTTCCGTGGTATGATTTGAGTAATGGCAGGGTGGAGCGAGGCATGAATTGCAAGGGATGTCAGTTCCGCGTTGAAGAGTATGAGCGTACGAACAGACGCCCAGACCCTCCATGGGGTTTCAATGATAGGGACCGAGTGTACTCGCGGGAGCAGTTCTTGTGTCATTTCGGATCTTGTGCACATGCCCAGGAAGTATGGGCTGACACACAAGTGAACCGACTGGCGCCAGAATCGGATTTCACGCTCCATGGCGGGATTGTGCTGCGTTATGAACCCAGGCATGAACTTCATTGACCTCAAATTTGTCTGGTGGCCAGGGTTTCCCGGATGACTTCTGGGGTTTGGCCCGTCATTCTCCATATCTGCTCGAGCATTGCAGTAGGGGTAGCCATTCCATAGTAACAATCACATGTCAAAGAGTCCGGTATAATAGTTTAGTAGTTCGAAACCACAGGCTACAGTCCTTCAAACATACGGGTTGAGATCCGACAATATACAACAACATTACAACTACCAAGCATTCCCGGAAGCTTGTCTCCTGAGCTACGTATCTGGTTTCATCCATAACATACACAAACGCATTCAGGCGTTCTTGAGTGCCTCATGGATCTCGCTCTTATATCTTGTGTTGATAGCCCGCCGGTTAAGCTTTTGAGTAGCGGTGACAAGGCCCTGTGTGATTAGGTCAGAAAGATTCAAATGTCGGATCATGGGTGAACCTACGCTTGCTGGAGTCCATTCCTCTGGTGTCAGAACTATTCCAGCAACAATCTCGGCACTGGATAGACCGCCTCGTTTCCCAGCTGCTTGCAGATCCTTCAGCAGACTCTCTTGAATCCTAAGATCACTGTGCATGATATGCTCATCAATGCCCATCTCGCGAGCCATATGAAGAAGAGAGGTCTCGTTAGGCATCACGACGGCGATAGGTCGGGCGTGCTCAGAGTCGGCATAAACCATGACATTCGTGATACCCTGCACACCCCGATAGATAGCCTCCAGCTTCTCCAGGGCAACGTACTCGCCACTGAGTAACTTGACCAGGTTCTTGATGCGGTCGATCACGCGAAGATGGCCATCAGCATCGAACTCGCCAACATCTCCGGTCTTGAACCAACCATCTTCAGTAAAGCTTTTCCTGGTTTCTTCCTCATTCTCATAGTATCCCAACATAACGGCCCCGCCCTTGATCAAGATCTCACCTTGCGGTATCTTCGTATCGGCAGAGTAGCCGAATTCGGGGACAGATACCAACTTGACCTCGATGGATCCCGGGACTGTACCGATGGAATGGAGGGTGAACTCAAGGGGGGATCCTAATGATCCGTTTGCACAGGTTTCAGTTAGACCATAGCCTGTAAACATCGGAGCAAGAACGAGGGACAGGAAGTGCTTCGTCGACAGAGAGATGGCGCTTCCACCATTGAAGAGGAACCTGATTCTGCCGCCAGTCATCTCTCGAACCTTGCCAAAAACGATGCTGTCAAGTAGACAAGCACCAGGTAAGTTGTGCTTGACCATGAAACTCTTGTATGCAAAGGCACGCCAGAACAAGGTTCGAAGAAGCACGCTTGCGTTGAGTCGAGCCATGACGCCTTTTCTAATAGTCTCGTACACCTGCGGAACACCGGGCATGATTGTAGGCGCCAGTTCACGCATGTCCCCAGCGCAGTTTCTCACAGACGCATCAGACAGTGTCCGTGGATTGCCGTAGCCAACAGCACCACCAAAGTAGTACCCGAGATTTTCGAGAGCCATTTCCAAGACATGGGCAAGCGGAAGATATGCAAGCAAGACGTCGTTATGAGTGACACAGTCAGAGACGCAGGTGTAAAGACCGGCAACTAGAACATAAATCAGCTCCGAGTAACGAGAAGTAAACGGAGGTCATCTTACTGCCTGCAATGAGATTTCGGTGCGCAATGCGTACGCCTTTCGGAACACCCCCAGATCCTGAAGTGTACATGACACAGTAGAGGTCATCGGGCTCGGGATAGACGGGATCTACCATTTCTCTCTCACCAGCCTTACAAAGATCATCGAAGCTAATCACTTTGATCTTTGGATGTGAGGTCCGGAACCCTTCCAGGAGTTCTGACCCGCCGAATATGGATGCTTCATTCACGATCAAAGTGTGAACCTTTGACCTTTTGAGGGGCTCTGCAGCAGTTTTGAGCAGATATGGGTCGATGTATATGGCCTCAGCTTGGGCTTGGACGAGACTGTGTTCAAGGCCGCTCGATCCAAGAGAGTCGTAAGCGGTGATGATTGACATGGATTGGGTAGCACAAGCATGCGACATAGCGATCCATTGCGCACTAAGTCGAACCGATCAGAATGCTACCAAAACGCTCTGGAGGTGATGTTCATACCTCGTGGACCCGAATAGAAACACTTTATCACCTCGCCCAAGTCCCAACTTTCGTAGGCCTGAGCCGACTTCAAGACAGTGCTTCTCATACTGCTTGTATGTCAAGAAAGAAAAGCCAGACAACTCGAAGTATGTCCATTCCTTTTCCACTTTCTGGACCTTGCCGTCTACTTTCTTTTCGACTTCATGTGTTCCTTTGTGGAGCTGGACCAGCTTTCTAGAACCAACAGCATTGCTTTCAGGGAACAGTCGTGCGCTGCGGCGAATGATGTCGAAAACAGTGCGGACATCTTCTGATGGGCGTTCAACCAGGCCATCGCGAGCCCTTGGGTGTCGGCGAGGAATAGTTTCATTCGCCTTTTTCTCGTATCCGGGCGATTCGATGGTGAACGGTGGTTTGAAAACCTGATATAAAGGCGTAATGCCGGACGTATGCGCCATTCTATCGTAGGGCTACTGGAAGGGTACAGGTACAAACGGCGTTATTCGAGATGATTGTTCAATGTCGGGAGGCGAATAACTCATGTCGCAAGACGTGAGATTTGAGAACGCTGACGTTGGGACCGTTGGCTCCATAAAGGCAACCCATAGACTGTCTACCAGCACCCAACAAAATGTTATCCCCGAACATTTTGTTGGCGCCTCATCCCTGCGTCTGATCCTGTCTTACTCTCCACTCTGACGTGGGACCTCTGGCCAACCTGCAACGCGTGGTCAATCAATGCTGTCTGTTGTCGCTCACCGACGAGTAAGTCATCATTGTTTGCTGTGAGTGTCACACATGTGACATGGCTAAGCAAGATTAGGTGCCACGTCTGACGCGCTGACACAGTCAACCATCCCCCAACTAATTGCTAGACGGGTCGGGTCATAGCACTTCAGTGTAATAATAAGCTGACTGGTGGCTGCTTGGATTGCTGGACTCCTTTGACCATGATTCGTTGCCAGTATCTTCAAGTTATCCTGTTGGATTTGCTTATTGACAAGAAGTGGCTGCAAAGTATCGGCGAGCCGGAAGATGCGCTTTGACGACAGAGTATTGGCCGATGTAGTTAAACCTCGTTGTTGAAAAAGGATATAAGTACGCATAAAAGTGGTGACGACAACATCTAGATCTAATGCATTCAGGCTACTAGATGCCTAAATTATTATGCGTAAGGTATTGCTTCTGACATAATCTGTCAGCCAGTTACTTTTAGGACACCATCCTTGCCGTCCTCATTCCGCCAAAGCTCAAGATACATAAAGACAT